CACAACAATGCAAACCACATCGACCTTTGATTATTCCACACCGATAACCGGCGAAACCGCTACGTTTTTAACAACTACGCTATCTAATCTTGAAACCGAATCTTATACTTCTTCTACCGTTGTCGAAGAAGCCACAACGATTTCGTACACGAGGGAAAGTACCGAATCCTCGAGCGAGGTTGTCACAGAGGCTTCCGAAACTACTGCTAAAGAAAGTACTTCTGTGTCTCTGGTAACTGAATCAACTTTGCCAATAACAGCAATAGTTGACGCGTTGAGCACTTCTACGATGTCAACGACAAATGCTGAAAGCGTAGAGAGTACTACTTTTAACGACAGAATGTCTACTTCTACTTCTTCGGAGGTACCTACAGTTGGAGATATCTCTGATAAAAGTACCGAAGTTGTTCCGACAGTTCGTGATATCGAATTAAGTAGCGAGGGAGTTTTTGGGACGACCACTGTATCTTATAACGATAGTACACGGTATGCTTCTACTACTGAAATTGCGTCTACCACGGATTCGATCGGGTCCCAGGGAACAACTATAGGTAGTAAAGTAACTGAACCGGATAAAGTTCAGATAGTCACTCCGGTTACGTATGTTTATCCTCTAGAAAAGACAACACCGTCGAAAGATGTGGTTACTGTTACTCCGATATACGTAGGTGAATATACGACGGAAATGCCGGAATTTACAGAGACTATACGTACTTCTAGCGAGAGTAGTACTACCGAGCTAGTCTCGTTCGAACAAACCTCTAGTACAATGCCTTTGGCTACGGAAAATTTAAATTTAGCGACGACAGAACCCGTAACATTGATCACTGTGACGGCGCGATATCCTTTGGATACGGGAACAACAACCGAGTCTGTCACAGAGATCACACGAACAACTGAACAGTATTCTACAGAAGCATATGCAACAACTGAATTATCTACGGAAAAGTCAGAAACAACCAGGCAGTACTTTACTGAACAGCCTCTAACGACAGGACAAGTTACTGAAAAAGCACTTACGACGGAATACCTTACGGAACAATCTTCAACGACTCAACAATATTCTACGGAGCAATCACAAACAACAATAATGTATTCAACAGAACAATCTTCAACGATTGATCAGTATTCTACGGTACAGCCAAAAACTACGGTGCAATATGTCACGGAACAACCTTCTACAATTGATCGTTCATCCATTGAACAATCAACGATACAATACTCAACTGAACAATCAACAACAGGTGTTTCATATTCAACAGAACAATCTCCACTAACTGAACAATATACTACAGAACAACAACAAAGCACGATACAATATTTTACGGAACAACCCTCCACAACTGATCGTTTTTCCACTGAACAACAATTGACAACGCAATACTCAACACAGCAGCCGTCTGCAACTATTTTGTATACGACGGAACAACTTTCAACGACTGAGCAATATCCCACAGAGCAACAACAAACCACAATGCAATATTTTACGGAACAACCTTCCACAATTGATCGTTCAACCGCTGAACAATCAACAATACAATACTCAACTGAACAATCAACTACAAGTGTTCCATATTCAACGGAACAATCTCCAATGACTGAACAATATACTACAGAACAACAGCAAAGCACAATGCAATATGTTACTGAACAATCCTCTACAACTGACTATTTTTCTACTAAACAACAATTAACAACGCAATACTCAACTGAACAATCGCCTACAACTATTGCGTATTCGATGGAACAACCTTCAACGACTAAACAATATTTCACAGAAGAGGCTCCAACTACGGTACAAAATATCACAGAACAACTTTCTACGACTGATCGGTATTTTACCGAACAACCATTGACAACAACACAATTATCAACAACCGTTCCATTTTCTACAAAGCAATCACCAACAACTGAACAATATTCTACAGAATCGCAAACTACAACGCAATATTTTACACAGCAGCCTTCTACAACTGACCGTTTCTCTACCGAACAACAATTAACAACAACACAATACTCAACAGAACAATCTTCAGTGACTGAACAATATTCCACGGAACAACTACAAACCACAGTGCAGTATTTTACAGAACAACCTATTGCAACTGATCAATATTCCACCGAGCAACAATTAACAACAACACAATACTCAACAGAACAATCTACTTCAACTGTTCCATACTCAACAGAACAACCTCTAACGACTGAGTCATATTCCATGGAGCAGCCACAAACTACGGTACAATATGTAACAGAACAACCTTCAACAACTAATCAAAACTTCACAGAGCAACCAACAACACAATACTCAACTGAACAATTTTCTACAACCATGCAGTCTTCAACAGAACAATCTTTGACTACTCAACTGTATTCCACGGAACAACCACGAACCACAGTACAATATTTCACGGAACAACCTTCAACAACTTATCAAAACTTCACAGAGCAACCAACAACACAATACTCAATTGAACAATTTTCTACAACCATGCAGTCTTCAACAGAACAATCTTTGACTACTCAACTGTATTCCACGAAACAACCACGAACCACAGTACAATATATCACGGAACAACCTTCAACAGCTAATCAGAACTTCACAGAACAGCCAACTACACAATACTCAACTGAACAATTTTCTCCAACCATGCAGTCTTCAACAGAACAGTCTTCGACTACTCAACTGTATTCCACGGAACAACCACAAACAACAGTACAATATTTCACGGAACAATCTTCAACAATTAATCACAACTTCACAGAACAACCAACTACACAATACTCAACTGAACAATTTTCTCCAATCATGCAGTCTTCAACAGAACAGTCTTCGACTACTCAACTGTATTCCACGGAACAACCACAAACAACAGTACAATATTTCACGGAACAACCTTCAACAACTTATCAGAACTTCACAGAACAACCAACAACACAAAACTCAACTGAACAATTTTCTACAACCATGCAGTCTTCAACAGAACAATCTTTGACTACTCAACTGTATTCCACGGAACAACCACAAACAACAGTACAATATTTCACGGAACAATCTTCAACAATTAATCACAACTTCACAGAACAACCAACTACACAATACTCAACTGAACAATTTTCTCCAACCATGCAGTCTTCAACAGAACAGTCTTCGACTACTCAACTGTATTCCACGGAACAACCACAAACAACAGTACAATATTTCACGGAACAACCTTCAACAACTTATCAGAACTTTACAGAACTGCCAACAACACAATACTCAACTGAACAATTTTCTACAACCATGCAGTCTTCAACAGAACAATCTTTGACTACTCAACTGTATTCCACGAAACAACCACGAACCACAGTACAATATATCACGGAACAACCTTCAACAGCTAATCAGAACTTCACAGAACAGCCAACTACACAATACTCAACTGAACAATTTTCTCCAACCATGCAGTCTTCAACAGAACAGTCTTCGACTACTCAACTGTATTCCACGGAACAACCACAAACAACAGTACAATATTTCACGGAACAACCTTCAACAACTAATCAGAACTTCACAGAACAACCAACAACACAAAACTCAACTGAACAATTTTCTACAACCATGCAGTCTTCATCAACTGAACCGTATTCCACGGAACAACCACAAACAACAGTACAATATTTCACGGAACAACCTTCAACAACCGAATCATACTCTACAATGCTAGAACAATCTTCCACCGAGTTATACCCCAATTTAACAACCCCTACAAATACTCCAGGACAGACTTGCGGACAGACCACCACCATTGGTCCCGAATGTAATATCAGTTTGAACGATACTTGTCGGCCCGTGTGCTTCAACCTAACAGTGAACCAGAGTACGCCTAATTGTAACATGCTCCCAGGTAAAAGATCTTTTTCATCGGGAGTTTTGTAAATGTGTTGTTCTCGTGTTTACCAACCTATATGTCTCGGCAAACATTCTCCAGTGTTACTTCATCCGGTATCATCCAGAGAAAAATTGGAGGCAACCAATTCTGGAGAGTTCTCTTAATTTCGCTATCGATAGATCGTACTCGAACTAACGATCCACGATACGCGGTGTCCAATGATTATCCGTGGGAACGTCAAATCGAATATTTGACAAATACAATTACGAATACAAGTATAGTTCACCTCTGCAAATCAATGCAGACATGGACCTGCTGCATTAGCGCTCTTTTGCATGTTGTACATTTTTGTGTTGCGCCTCTGCACGTTCTCTTCTCGCTTATCTATACGTAGTAATTAATTGTAATTTTTGTTCAGTCCAAGGAAGTTTAAAGGAAACTTTCACAGAAAATTCTCCATTCGGAATAATATTTTTCTTTTATCTTATATTAAGAGTAATAATTTTTAAACGTTGAACGAAACGTTTCCTTTAAACGTGGTAAAACTAACGACTGTTTCTGGGCTTTACACATATAACACGAAAACCACTATATGTTTTAGAACTTAGACGACTGTGTATACCATTTTCTGTGTTTATTATTGTGCATTGTTTTATTAGTTTTTTGTTTAGATATATGTGTATATTTTTTTCGAATACGTGCATTCTATGAATTTTGTATTTTAAGAAGTCATCGAGTAAATCACGATCAATGAATAAATTATTATTATAACAATTTTTACGCGGAAAGTTGAATGTCAGATATTACGAATACTCGTAGACGAGTTATTTTGAGCTTCTAATATACATTCGTTTCGTTAGATACCAAATGCAAAACGCACGACGACTGTCTCTCCCAATTGGCCTGCATAAACCAACAGTGCTTGAACCCGTGCACTGTCCACAATCCGTGCGACTTTGTGGAAGTCTGCCATGTTCAAGATCACAGACCAGTTTGCGTGAAAGGTAGAATATGAAAAGAAAATTAATTTAAAAAAGTAGAAAAATACAAGAATCAATTGGTACAACTTCAAGACATCCTGCTGTATGAAACTGGAACACTTGATAATTAATTTACGAATGCAAAATGCCAAAGTTACCTGAAAAGATCAATTCCAAAATATCTAAGATTAGAAGATTAGTATTATTATTAGATCAAGTGAATTTGTATCATTTGGTGCCCGAATTGTCATTAATTTAAATATTTAATGGAACACCATATGTATCCGACTTTTATCTAAGCAGGTGCAGAATTCTTGACAGAATTAATCTAACGTTTCTTCAATTTTCCCAGATGTATCGAACGATACAGACTGTCCCTACTGTCCAGCGGGTATGGAGTGCGATCCAGCGACGTATACTTGCGTGAAAGGTTCGTACAAGATCCACCGCCTCATTTCGATCTTCCGCCATTTTCATCTCATTTTACAGCGTTCATTTCTTCCTGTAAATATGTATGTATTGTACATATGCAAGTCGTGGGTGTCACGGCGCGCAATTATAATTCCTATTTCAATTTCACGCGATATTTCTATAATTCTCAAGTTTCCCATTACGTCCGGATATCCTATCTTTAATCCTCCAATCTTTCATCTTCGAACACTGAAAATCGTCCAGCGACACGATTGTTTCGTACCAATCTCCATCTCCGCGCACCCACATCTACACGCGGAATACACCGTATCTTGTACAAGCTGATTCACCTTAGCAGTACACTCGACACGAGCCTGTCACCCTTATTTTTTCTTTCCCTAGCGGGTTGCACTAGCCACAAAGATTGTCCGCTGACAGAGGCGTGCATTGACGGCACCTGTCAGGAACCGTGTCTCGTTCGGAACCCTTGCGTGAAAAACGCGATCTGCGTTAACACCGATCACCGTGCTGACTGTAGCTGCGAGGAAGGTTTCCACGGAAATGGATTCTCTTACTGCGAACCTGGTAATTTCTCATACTTCAACGATTATTACGTATCTTGCGTTTTAATGTCATATAAATGAATACTCGTGGATATTTCGCAACGTTGACATGGATGTGAAATGTTTCAGAGGAAGAAGGTAGGAACGTGTGTCAGTACAACGAGGACTGTACGCCGTCCAAATACTGCGACCGCCTGAACCGGAAGTGCATCGACCCTTGCCTGGAAACCGATTGCGGTGCGAACGCGAACTGTTATCCAGAGAACCATCAAGCACAATGCAAGTGCTTGCCTGGATTCCAAGGAAATCCTCACGTTGGCTGCACACAATCCACCACAGATCCGTGCGTTCCAAACCCCTGCGGTTTGGATGCGATGTGCGAGAACGATAATGGCAATCCGATATGCTTCTGCCCCAAGGGGTTGACTGGAAATCCGTTCGAGCAGTGCAGTAAGCTTTTCCAAACATTTCTCCTCTTTAAATTCAGGCGAAATAGCTGTGAAATTAACTACGAATTATAAAATACATAAATTACCACGAATTAAAATTTCTACCGAGAATGCAATCTTCTGTAGATTTAGAAATTTCGTATTTAGTACACAAATGGATCAAAATAATTGTGAATCACCGTATATGTATCAAAATTTTCGATGAAAATTCAGTTGCCTAACAGGCCTAAAAATTTTGTCTTCAGTCCCAGAAGGTGATCAATGTCGAGAGAATCTTTGCGGCGTCAATTCTGGCTGCCGCGTGGTGTCAGGACAAGTGAGATGCTTCTGTCTGCCAGGATACGAAGGGAGCCCTCCTGCAACCCCTTGCTCGCTTCCGAGCAACCCCTGCGAGCCTTCTCCTTGCGGACCTAATACTCAATGTGCTGTACTGAACAACGGCCTCTCGAAGTGCACCTGCTTGCCAGGGTACATCGAGAGTCCCAACACGATCAGGGGATGTGTGCCCAAGTCTGATCAGTGTACTCCGAGTCCTTGTGGACTTGGAGCTACGTGCGACTCGAAGAGAGTACCTCCTTGCTACTGCCCAGAGAACACCTTTGGAAATCCTTATCAGAGCTGTGCAGGTATTTAAACGCGAGCAAAGGAGACGAGAAAGAGAAACATACAAATGTTTCAAGGGAAAGCTGACCTTTTGTCTTTGCAGCACCCCCGGATAACGTATATGAACCTTGCTTATTGGTTCCTTGCGGAAAGAATGCGATCTGCGTGGAAGAACAAGGTGTTCCAAAGTGCAAGTGTGTACCACCGTTCATTGGTAACCCGTACATGGATGGATGCGAAGCGGAATGCATCGTGAACCAGGACTGCGACAATCACCTGGCATGCTTCAATCAGCATTGCAGGGATCCTTGTCCAGGTGTCTGTGGCTCGAACGCGAAATGCGAAGTAGCTGAGCACGTTCCCGTTTGTTCCTGCCTACCTGGCTACACTGGAGATCCATTTGGCTCCTGCAAAGTCGAAAAGCCTCGTGAGTCTTCATACTTATCGAATCGAATTTAAGTGGAAATTTCATAATGGAGTTTATCTAAACGATGAAGATGAAAATTTTCATTGATTTTTCCAGCTCTTCCACCCCAGAATCCCTGCATGCCATCACCTTGCGGACCACACAGTATCTGTCGCGTGATGAACGACCGTGCAGTTTGCTCGTGCAGTCCAGGATACCACGGATCACCGCCATCTTGTCGTCCTGAATGTCTAGTCAGTTCGGAGTGTCCTGCACACTTGGCCTGTATCAGTCAGAAATGCGGAGATCCTTGTCCAGGTCTTTGTGGACAGAATGCTTTGTGCCAGGTCATCAATCACAATCCTATTTGCAGCTGTCCTCGAGATTACCTCGGTGATCCTTTCACGCAATGCGTTAAAGAAGGTAATTAATTAAATTTCACGGATGAGGTTGTAATCGATTAAGTCAATTTTCTTTATCCTTTCTGTTAGATATACCACTGCCAGGACCAAAGAATCCTTGTTTCCCATCACCGTGTGGCCCGAACGCAGAGTGTCGCGTGCAGGAGGATCATCCTGTCTGCACCTGCATCAGTGGAATGTTCGGGGCACCACCAAATTGCAGACCTGAATGTCTGATTCATCAAGACTGCCCAAATTACCTCGCTTGTGTTCAGAAGAAATGCGTGGATCCTTGTGCTGGTTCTTGTGGGTTTAACACAAATTGTACCGTACACAATCATCGTCCTATGTGCCAATGCTACGAGAGTTACGAAGGGGATCCATTCTCTGGATGCAGCAAAGGTAGGATCGTCTAACAGAGTAACAGAAGATGATAATATCTCATTTTCTAAAAAGATAAAAATATATGAACGATGATTGTTCCAATTACAGTTACCTTCCCAGTGGCACTGCCATGTGATCCATCTCCATGTGGTGCCAATGCGATTTGCAAAGAGCGAAATGGAGCTGGTTCGTGTACCTGTTTACCCGATTACACTGGAGATCCCTACGAAGGATGTAGACCAGAATGTGTTCAGAATTCGGATTGTGTTCATACGAAAGCTTGTATAAATAACAAATGCAAGGATCCGTGCGTGGGTGCTTGCGGTATAAATGCTCAATGTCAAGTAATCAATCATCAACCATCATGCAGCTGCCTCTCGAGTTATACCGGGGATCCGCTAAAATCTTGCCATATATCTCCTGGTAAATTGATACAAATGAAGAATTACGAAGAGCTCTTCGTGCTCGTTTCCTGTTTTTTAATATGATTTTACTTAATTTCAGTGACACCAGTTCAAGGCGACCCGTGCCAACAGTCTCCTTGTGGACCGTACAGCAATTGTCGCGTGATTGACAATCACGCAGTGTGTTCCTGTCAACCAGACTATGTCGGCAGTCCTCCTCAGTGTAAACCTGAGTGCGTGGTTAGTACAGATTGCACTCAGAACACGGCTTGCATTGGTCAGAAGTGCAGAGATCCATGTCCAGGCAATTGTGGTCAGAATGCTGACTGCCAGGTTATCAATCACAACCCTGTGTGCAGTTGCATGTCTGGATATACCGGAGATCCGTTCTTCGGATGTGTGAAAGAACGTAAGATTCTTCTTTGCCTTGTTACATTCTTATATCTCATTGTATTTCTCATGGAGACGAAACTGGAATGATCTTTTCCCTTTTAAGCAGAAGAAAAAATACCTGGTCAAGAACCAAGTGGAAATCCGTGTATTCCATCTCCATGCGGAGCAAACTCTCAGTGTCGCGTAATAGACGGTTTCCCAGCATGCTCCTGTCTGCCAAATTACGTTGGCAGAGCTCCGAATTGTCGCCCGGAGTGCGTTATAAACGAAGGATGTCCTGGAAATCTTGCCTGTCAAAACGAACGCTGCGTGGATCCTTGCCCAGGTTCTTGTGGCGTGAACACTTACTGCAACGTTGTGAAACACAACCCAGTTTGCATTTGTAATACCGGGTATACCGGAAACCCATTCACCGAATGCGTGCCAATATTGGAAGGTATATCAGAGTTCTGAAAATTCCTATTCCTACGATGGTTTAAAAATTTGTTAATATTTTCTAATTTTCTAATCCGTAGAACCCACCACTACCGAACAACCCCGCACACCGTGCAACCCATCCCCATGCGGAGCGAATGCGATTTGCAACGAACGAAACGGTGTTGGGTCCTGCACTTGCCTCGCGGAATACGTCGGTGATCCATACACAGGGTGCAGACCGGAATGTGTGACGAATACCGACTGCGATCGCAGCAAGGCTTGTTTGAACAACAAGTGCGTGAATCCTTGCCCTGGCACTTGCGGTCAAGAAGCAACTTGTCGTGTGATCAATCACGCTCCATCCTGCTCATGCTTGCCAGGCTTCACCGGAGATCCGTTCAACGCATGCACGGCAATAGAAGTGACCCCTGAACCTTTACCGATCAATCCTTGTAAACCATCGCCTTGTGGGCCCAACAGCAACTGTCGTGTTCATAATGGTCACGCCGTCTGTCTCTGTCAACCAGGATTCGTCGGTGTGCCCCCAACTTGTCGTCCAGAGTGTAGAGTGAGCTCAGAGTGTCCACAGAACAAGGCGTGCATCGATAACAAGTGCGCTGATCCTTGTCCAGGATCCTGTGGATTGAACACAAAATGTTTGACTGTCAACCATAATCCCATTTGCACTTGCACCACTGGATACACTGGCAATCCATTGGTCCAGTGTACCAGATTCAACGCCTCCCAACCACCGTTCAAAGATCTTGGGAATCCGTGCTCACCTAATCCCTGTGGACCTAATTCTCAGTGCAGAGTGATTGGTTCTCAACCTGCCTGTTCTTGTCTATTGAATTTCGTCGGACGTCCACCGAATTGCAGACCAGAGTGCGTTGACAACTCGGATTGCTTCCATTCAGCGGCGTGTATAAACCAGAGGTGCAAGAATCCTTGTCCTGGAGCCTGTGGAGAACTGGCCAGGTGCTCGGTTCAGAATCACATTCCCATTTGCACCTGTCCCGAGGGATATGAGGGAGATGCTACTATTCGTTGCGTCTTAGCTCCTCCTCCAAGTAAGATCCTTTCCTCGTTATAATAAGATAATTTTCGTAATGTCATATATGTAAAGTATATTTCATGGTTCATATTTTCTCTTTCCAGCAACAGACATAAGCGTAACGAATCCATGTTCTCCGAATCCGTGCGGGCCAAATGCTCAGTGTCGTGAAAGAAACGGCGCTGGTGCTTGTGCATGTCCGCCAGACCTCATTGGAGATCCTTATGACAACGAGAAGGGATGTCACAGAGAGTGTGAGTCGAACAACGACTGTGCTCCACAACTGGCTTGCGTTGGCTTCAAGTGTTCCGATCCTTGTCCGAGCACTTGCGGTACATTATCCATCTGTAATGTTCAGCAACATGTTCCTGTGTGCACTTGTCCTCCAGGATACACAGGAGATCCGTACTTCGCTTGCGAAGTCAAAGAAATGACAAGTGAGGAAAAACAAGTCTTCTCTTAAATATTCGATGATGTTATTGGATAAGAGTTGCTAAGCTTACTACTGTGAATTCATTTTTAGAAGTACCTCCATTGGACCCATGCTCACCGTCGCCCTGTGGACCCAACAGTAAATGCCGTGAAGTGAACAGACAAGCAGTCTGCACGTGTCTTCCGGAATACAGAGGTATTCCACCGAGTTGTAGACCGGAATGTGTGGTGAATGCGGAATGTCCAGCTCATTTGGCTTGCTTGAACAAGAAATGCACAGACCCGTGTCCGAACACCTGTGGATTAAGAGCATTGTGTGCCACTAAGAATCACAATCCCATTTGTACTTGCCCTGTTGGATTTACAGGAGATCCATTCTCCCAATGCTCTCTTGGTAAGAGTAATTTCATTTCTCTTCGTATATTCGATAAAGAAAGATAAAATATTTGACATAATGTTGGCTCGATAGCTATGGATGTTCCATCAATCACGGAGCGGCCGCCATCTTGCAATCCATCGCCTTGTGGCCCGAATTCTCTGTGCCAAATCATATCTGGAAACCCAGCTTGCTCCTGTCTACCAAATTATATCGGTGTTCCTCCAGAGTGCAGACCAGAATGCATTCTAAGCTCTGAATGCAAGAGTCATCTAGCATGCGTGAACCAAAGGTGTCAAGATCCTTGTCCAGGCTCGTGTGGTGCTAACGCTCAGTGTCATGTACTGAATCACATTCCCGTTTGTACCTGCATGGAAGGATTCACTGGCGATCCTTTCACACAGTGCATAGTGCTTCCACCGAGTAAGAAAATTCTTTGGTCCTATTTCGATTCAATTAATTACGATGAATTTATAAAATACAAAAATGTATCTGTCTCTTAGCAACTTTGCCACCTATGAGCGACCCATGCAACCCATCGCCTTGTGGACCAAACGCCATATGCAAGAACGGTGACTGTGAGTGTCTGCCTGAGTACCTCGGCAATCCGTATGAAGCTTGTCGACCAGAATGTATCCTCAATTCGGAATGTCCACGTGACAAGACTTGCCTGAAGAACAAGTGCAAAGATCCATGTCCTGGAACGTGCGGACAAAACGCAGTTTGCGATATTGTTAATCATATTCCAGTATGCTCTTGTCTATCTGGATACATCGGAGATCCATTCGTCAGTTGTCGTGTTCAGCCTCAAAGTAAGTATCCGTTTTTGAGAATTTTGGATTGATATGTGTCTGTAATATTTATAAATTGTCAAACTTGTTCCAGTTCCACAAGCTTCGAGGGATCCATGCTCACCCGTTTCACCGTGTGGACCAAACAGTCAGTGTCGTAATATCGAGGATCATGCAGTGTGTTCTTGTCTTCAAGGGTACCTTGGATCTCCACCGTCCTGTAGACCCGAGTGCGTGGTCAGTTCAGAGTGTCCGCCCACTCGTGCTTGCGTCAACAAGAAATGCACTGATCCTTGCTTGGGATCTTGTGGTTTGAACGCCAGGTGCGAAGTGATCAATCACTCGCCGATTTGCAGTTGTCTTCCTGGACAGACTGGAGATCCGTTCAAGAGTTGCTATGATATTCCAGGTAGGACACTTTTGATTAATAAGTTAAAGCTTCTAATAAAATGGAAGAAACTTATTATATTGGTTCTCGGTACTTTGTAGCTCCACCAGATGTCAAAGACACGGGAGATCCCTGCAATCCTTCACCTTGCGGACCAAATGCTCAGTGTCAAAACGTGAATGGCTATTCATCCTGTTCTTGCCTTCCTACTTACATAGGAACACCACCATCTTGTCGTCCAGAGTGTTTGATAAACCCTGATTGTCCATCAGACAAGGCTTGCATAAATTCGAAATGCACAGATCCTTGTCCAGGGTCCTGTGCAGAAAATGCTAGGTGCCTTGTCGTCAATCACGCAGTCACCTGCTCCTGTGCATCCGATTTTACTGGGAACCCATTCGTCCAATGTGTCGAATTAGAAAGTACGTTCGTTTGATCACAAGTGAATTAATCGTTCAATCTTCTTATCTTAATATAACAAAATTGCAGAAGAACCTATCAATCCATGTGAACCGTCACCCTGTGGTCCAAACGCTATGTGCCAACAACGCGATAACGTCGGCGCGTGCATTTGCATCGACGACTATCATGGAAACCCCTACGAAGGCTGTCAACCGGAATGCATCCTCAGTTCAGATTGTCCAACCAACAAAGCCTGTGTTCGCAACAAATGCGAGGATCCTTGTCCAGGAATATGCGGCATTCAAGCTCAGTGTTCTGTCATCAATCATATTCCTACCTGCACCTGTCAACCTGGTTACGTTGGAGATCCCTTCAGCATTTGCAATATGCCAATTATCTCGGACACAGAACCCAGTGTCACCGATCCTTGTAGTCCATCACCTTGCGGACCTAACAGTCTATGCAGAGCTGTGAAGGATCAGGCTGTGTGCACCTGTCAGGAGTCCTTCGTTGGTTCGCCACCTAACTGCAAACCTGAATGCGTCGTGAACTCCGAGTGTCCTCAAAACAGGGCTTGTTATAAGTACAAGTGTACTGATCCTTGTCCTGGAACTTGCGGAGTGGGAGCCAATTGTCGCGTGATCAATCACAACCCTCTATGCAGCTGTCCACAAGGCAACACGGGAGATCCTTTCTCTAGATGTTATCCTCAACCAAGTAAATGTCTCAGACAATTTTCGATGTAATTTGCAAAGACAAATACTCAAACTTGTATTCTCCCCTCAGTCACACCAGCGCCGCCAGTGGGTGATCCTTGCAATCCAAGTCCATGTGGTCTCTATGCAGAGTGCAGAGCAATCGGTGATCAAGCTGCTTGCTCCTGCTTGAAGAATTACATAGGACTTCCACCCAATTGTCGCCCAGAGTGCGTCGTCAATTCAGATTGTCCTTCTAATCAAGCTTGCATCTCGGAGAAGTGCAGAGATCCTTGCATTGGATCCTGTGGACAAAACGCGGATTGCAGGGTGCAGAATCATATCCCAGTCTGCCTGTGTCAAACGGGTTACACTGGTGATCCTTTCACGCTGTGCTCACAGATAATAGGTATTTCTCCGATTCCACGTTACCTTCCGAGTTCATCGATTCAATGGTACATTTAATTAATCTACACGTCGCTCATTTCACAGAACAACCAAAGGTGCCCGAAGATCTATGCAACCCGTCACCCTGCGGACCAAACGCAGAATGCAACGAGGGCATCTGTTCCTGTCTTCCAAACTATTTCGGCGATCCGTACTCGTACTGTCGCCCAGAGTGCACTATGAACTCGGATTGTACTCGACAGAAGGCGTGCGTAAATCAATACTGCGTAGATCCTTGCGTGGGCACGTGTGGAACCAGTGCGAAGTGCGACGTGGTCAACCACATACCCATGTGTAGTTGCCTTCCTGGTACCACCGGAGATCCTTTCACGCTGTGTCGACCATATGCCATCGAAGGTAGATTTTACCCCGTTCTTTTATATCACCACATTGAATGTAACGATATTAACATACATCGACTGTCTGTCAATCTTCCAGAACCAAGGAAACAACCATGCACACCGTCTCCCTGCGGTCCAAACGCTGTCTGCAAAGTGGTGAACGATCATGCAGTCTGCTCCTGTCAGACCGGTTTTATCGGCAGTCCTCCTGCCTGCAGACCAGAGTGCGTAGTCAGTGCCGAGTGTCCTTTGACTCAAGCCTGTCTCGCTAACAAGTGTCAAGATCCTTGCCCTGGTACTTGCGGTCAGAACTCCAAGTGCCAAGTAGTGAATCACAATCCGATTTGCAGCTGTTACGAGGGTCACACTGGCGATCCCTTCACTAGATGCTATCTGATGCCCAGTAGGTTTCCTCAGATTGTACATGTAATCCATGTTGCTACTATTTGACATCTTTTATCCTTCATTTGTGAATTATCTTCTCGCAGAGCAACCACCGATAACAACGAATCCCTGTCAACCATCCCCCTGTGGACCTAACGCAGAGTGTCAAGTGAGAGGTGACAGTCCAGCGTGTTCGTGTATCGAGAATTACATCGGTGTGCCGCCTAATTGCAGGCCCGAGTGCACGATCAATCCGGAGTGTCCGCCGCATTTAGCGTGTATGCAACAGAAGTGTCGCGATCCGTGTGTCGGTCTGTGCGGTCTGAATGCTCAGTGTTCGGTGGTGAATCATCACGCAGTGTGTGCTTGTGTTGAAAGTTACACCGGAAATCCGTTCAGCGTTTGCGAGCCGGTCACCAAGGGTGAGTGGTCAAAAACGAATATTTTTGTTCATTTTCTTTCCTCTTTCCTCATGGCAAATTTTCGCCGTTTGCATGCGGGCGAACCGCAGGTAAGTGCTTGTTCGCGTCTTTCATTTTGCGATCATGGCGTACTCTAACAAATGTTCGTGTCTTCGTCGCTAATCGAGGACGAAACGACGAGAGGCCCTAACAAATTCGGTGACGAAACGTCACGATGGTGGCGGGGCCTTGCGAATCATTATCAACATGCACTTGCGTCAGAATGATAATCGATAATTGCATAATCATCCCTGCGATTAATTCTTCGAATGCGAAGAGCACGCCTTCGAAAACCCTATACACGTACGATTGAGAAAATAACCAGGAATGAAGTAACTGTGTTAAGAGACTGAATGGTGGCGGGGCCTATGGAGTATAGGCTCTAATTGCACTCACCCTAAACGATAACCGATAACCAATTCACCCACCCGAATAGGAAGAATACTGCACGCACTGACCGTTCCCCATTCCCGAATATATTGCTTTAAAGCTGATACCTAGAAGAGCTAGAAGTTAGAACGTCCTGTGTCTCCCGAATTTTTTTATGAAGATTATGCAAAGTTTTGGAAGACTTGAACCCTTGTGTCCCTTGTACGAACCACCCCGTTTCCCTAGGCACGAAGATTAACCCCTAAAAAGTGTCATGACCTTGTGTTCCCGACTAAAGATAGAAACTGCTCCTGACGATATGCTTATTAAAAAGTACCCATAACGAAAATTAATTCCCTAGCGAAGATCAAAGCCCTTAATAAAACCCGAATGCTAATGAATGTTTAGACGATAGTCCACAGAAACACGCATTTTACGACCCAAAAACACCCTAACACCCGATGCTATATCGAAAACACCAATAGGCGTTTGAATCCTGCTGCTGAAGGATCATTCATACGGAAGCGTTCGAGTGCTTGCTATCAAACGAAGCTTCCGCTTATCTCGCAAATTCGTCAGAATTCGACATACATATTCAACGAATATTCATGCCACTGCACCAGCTTTGACGGACCACCGTTGCATGATCGATTAAATATAAGTGAAAGTATTTCTCTTCCCGACCAGATACACCCCTAGACATTAGGAAACCATGCGAGCCTTCTCCCTGCGGTACCAATGCGATCTGTCGCGAGAGCAATGGCGTCGGTTCCTGTTCCTGTCTGCCAGACTACATTGGTGACCCCTACGAAGGATGCAGACCCGAATGTACCCAAAATTCCGATTGCTCCAAGACGATGGCCTGCGTGGGCCTCAAGTGCAGAGACCCCTGTCCAGGAACTTGCGGATTACAAGCCCGTTGCGAAACGATCAATCACGTTCCAGTGTGTTCTTGTAACCCTGGTTACACTGGCAACCCGTTCACGTATTGTTCCCCGGCCTCTGTCACTCGTAAGCCTCCATTTCGTATCACGTTTTGCATCCGAACAGGCTTCAGATCATTTTAGATCGTTTGAACGCTGTTATATTTCATTAGACTCTTGGCACGAGTAGTTTACCGAGCACCAAGCTTCACGTAGACGCAAATGTTGCATATCTAGTCTGTTAATCCTATTTTCCCTCACACAGCTACCCCCGTAGAGTCAGACCCCTGTAGCCCCACCCCGTGCGGGCCGAATAGCCAATGTCGAAACGTGAACGACCACGCCGTGTGTACCTGCCTGGCGAATTTCATTGGAACCCCGCCGAGTTGTCGACCCGAATGTGTGGTGAACAGCGAGTGCACGAGAGAACTCGCGTGCATTAATCAGAAATGCGCGTCTCCGTGCGTGAACTCGTGCGGCATCAACACGCAGTGCAAGGTGATCAACCACAGCCCCATATGCATCTGCAATATTGGATACACCGGTGACCCGTTTACCAAATGCTTCCCTGCTCCACGTAAGAATGTTTCTTTTGATATTTGCTCCATCATCGAATGTTCTAACACCTTATCGTCTATGGTTAAGTGTCAGGATTAACCAAGTTCCATCTTATCTGCCTCCGATGAGATCATTTCGGTCGCTTCAAATTTTTCAATCACTCACAGCTTCAATTATACGTACCGGCCATGCTTCTTTCGCTGAAGTTTCTAACCACAGAAGAACTTCGTTATTCGTGAATTTAAGATAGTTTCATCGTGAAATGTCCTCCGAGCTTTAATTTCGTGTATCGCATACTCGATTTTGCCATATCTTGTCGACCTAAGATCATTTTATAGTCCTCGGTTCATCGCGGATCATCGGGTAATGGTAATAATAAATTCTAGAAGCTCCCCAGAACGACTTTGACCTCGTTCCCAAAGACCCGTGCATACCATCGCCCTGTGGCATGTACGCGGAATGCAGGAACATCGGTGGCACAGCTTCCTGTTCCTGTCTGGCAAGATACATCGGGGCCCCACCGACTTGTCGACCAGAATGTCGCGTGAATTCTGACTGTCCCATGAATCTCGCCTGTAGCAATGAGAAATGCAGAGATCCTTGTCAAGGATCCTGCGGAGTAACCTCTCTGTGCACAGTTTACAACCATGTGCCCGTGTGCACCTGTCCTGAAGGGTACACTGGAGATCCTTTCAGCAACTGCTACCCTACTCCCGTTAGACCAAGTAAGACAATTGGACGAATTAGAAATTGGAAACCTGGATTACGTGGAAGAATAGCGAAAGACAATCATATTTACTCGTTTCACAGCTGAAGCAACTGTTATTGACCCCTGTGCATCATCACCCTGTGGCTCGAATACACGTTGCGATAATGGAATTTGCTCGTGCTTACCCGAATATCAGGGTGATCCCTATGTGGGTTGTAGACCAGAGTGTGTGCTGAACACGGATTGCCCTCAGAATCTGGCTTGCATCAGAAATAAGTGTGTCGATCCTTGTCCTGGCACCTGTGGCCGAAATGCTCAGTGCATGGTATACAATCACGTGCCTATGTGTAGCTGTCCGAGTGGAATGGTTGGAAATGCGTTCGTTCAATGCACTGTTCTCCAAGGTACAACTCGAGGAACATTCAATTAGATTATTCACATTGTAGAATTATTTTTCACAAGAGTCTTGTCCTGACAATCTCAGATACCGTACAGAGGAATCCTTGTTCACCGTCACCTTGTGGACCAAACAGTGTTTGTCGGGAAATTAATGAACAACCAGTCTGCTCCTGCGTGGCAGGATTCCTGGGTGCTCCACCTGCTTGTAGGCCAGAGTGCACAGTTAGCTCCGACTGTCCTCTGACAGAAGCTTGTAGTAATCAGAAATGTGTAAATCCTTGCCCTGGTACTTGTGGATTCAGAGCTGTCTGCAACGTTGTCAACCATAATCCTATCTGTAGCTGTTTACCCGAGCATACTGGAGATCCATTTGTCCAGTGTGTCCCACGACGTAAGACCCGTTCCATCGAGATCTCATTTCTTGAAACAATTTTCGTGGTAACTCGAAGGTAATTCGCGGTGTATTTTTAGCACCCGAGCCTGTAGTCCCACAGAACCCGTGCGAACCTTCTCCGTGCGGGCCCAATGCTCAGTGCAGAGTCGTGAACGATGCACCCTCCTGTTCCTGTTCACCGGAATTCATAGGCACTCCGCCTAACTGCAGACCAGAGTGTGTCAGCAACAGCGAATGTTCTAGTCAGATGGCCTGTGTAAATCAGAAATGTAGAGATCCTTGTCCTGGATCCTGCGGAGCCAACGCGGATTGTCGCGTTGTCAGTCATACACCCATGTGTGTCTGTCCTAGTGACTATGTCGGTGATCCTTTCACACAGTGCACACCTAGGCCACGTAAGAATCAAAAAATACCTTTATTTCTTAGTTTTTTATTTATAGATATCAAAGATTTTGATTCCTCTAGGACAGCAATGACACTTATATTACGTATTCTTCTACATATTTTGTGTGTATTATAATGTTATATGTACTTTAATACTAGGTTTACGGACGCTCTCTGTATAGCTATTTCTAAGGACACCTGTCAAATTGACAGGTAAAGGAAATCACGTGCCTTTTTTTTGTAACGATTAGTTTAATTTAAAATTACTAGGTTTACGGACGCTCTCTGTATACCTATTTCTAAGGACACCTGTCAAATTGACAGGTAAAGGAAAACACGTGCCTTTTTTTTGTAACGATTAGTTTAATTTAAATACAATTACATATATTATTAACAGTCTTAATATAAGTTAACTAAATCTGTTACCATCGTATAATTGAAGCAACCCTTCCGTAAAATTGACGGGTTCCGTAAATCTAGTGTTAATTATGTTATTTATTTCATTAGTATTGTATCAATTATTCACCGTCAAAGAAGTGACCTTGAGCAATCGAAACCTTTAACCTAGTTAACCTTGTAGTTACAAGGAGAATTGTAACCTTTTTTCTTCAGTTTCCTAATTTTGATAATCATTTTTAAATTTTTTAGCTGTACCTGTCAATCTTTCCCCATGCTCCCCATCACCGTGCGGTTTCAATGCTATATGCAAAGAACAAAACGGTGTCGGTTCATGCTCCTGTTTACCCGATTACATTGGCAATCCCTATGAAGGGTGTCGGCCAGAATGTGTCATTGACACGGATTGCCCATCCACGTTCAGCTGCATACGTTCTAAGTGCCAAGATCCTTGTCCAGGCACTTGTGGTACCAACTCCGAGTGTAAGGTCATCAATCATCGTCCCGCGTGCACGTGCCTTCAAGGATACAGTGGAAATCCCTTCCAATACTGTACCTTGATTCGTGAAATAGGTATAAACGAACACCTCCGTTTTACAAATATACTTTAAAGAACATGTTTTACAGTCGAAGTTGAATTTAATAATTTAAAAAATCAAGCTTCATTTATTCCCGAAAATTAGTTATTCTTCGTGATGTGTAGTTTAACAAATCTATATTCAAGTATTCAAATATTCAAATTCCATTGCATCAGTACTCAAATTTCGAAGGCGATAGGTTGCTAACACAATCAAAACCTTGTAGAAGACGAGACGAAGTATAAGGATCCGTGCAGTCCTTCACCCTGTGGACCAAATAGCCAATGTCGCGTAGTAAACGGGCAAGGAGTCTGCTCTTGTCTTCCTGAATACACAGGCACACCTCCCATGTGTCGACCAGAGTGTGTTCTAAACTCAGAATGTCCACAAGATCGGGCGTGTGTTAACCAGAAGTGCGTGAATCCGTGTCCCGCATCTTGTGGCACGTTCGCCACCTGTGTGGTCAGAAACCACAGTCCCATCTGCGCCTGCAGGGAATCATACACAGGAGATCCTTTCACCAGATGCTTCCCCATACCTCGTAAGACATTTCTAAACACCTTGAACTGACTCGAGATCTCTCGAAGTCAAACAGATCCTACATTTTGTCACTTGGCCTTTCAGAAGCCTTACCACCCGCAACGTTCGAAGCTTCGCAACCTTGTTTGCCATCTCCCTGTGGTCCAAACTCCGAATGTCGCGTGGTTAACGGCGGCCCATCTTGCCAATGTCTATCCACGTACATCGGCAGTCCTCCAAACTGCAAACCAGAGTGTACCATCAACTCTGACTGTCCCAGTAACAGAGCTTGCATCAGGCAGAAGTGCGTGGACCCCTGTCCAGGGTCATGCGGAGTAGGGACTCAGTGTAGCATAACTAATCATATACCTATGTGCACATGTGTCCAAGGATACACTGGAGATCCCTTCAGCAATTGTTATCCAACACCACCGCAATGTAAGCCTTCGTTTTCCTTCTTCTCCTCAGTGATCTATCGGATAATCGATTAGCTTTAACGAATTCTTACAGTGGCACCCCCCGAATCAGACCCCTGCAACCCGTCACCCTGTGGACCTAACGCTCAGTGTAACGCAGGAATATGCACTTGTTTGCCGGAGTATCAAGGCGATCCTTATACTAGCTGTCGTCCAGAATGCGTCCTCAACAATGACTGCCCTCTGAACAGAGCATGCGTTCGCAACAAATGCGTGGATCCTTGTCCAGGCACTTGTGGTAGAAACGCTGTTTGCAATGTCTTAAATCACGTACCCATGTGCAGTTGCCTACCGGGAATGGCTGGCAATGCTTTCATATCCTGTGACAGAGTCGAAGGTACGAAGATCAAGGAAAGATCCTTAACGAAGAATAATTTTCCTCTCTGAAGAATAATTTTGAAGAAAAGATTATTTTGTTCCTGATTTAGAACCAGTACAGGTGAATCCCTGTAATCCATCTCCTTGTGGACCTAACAGCCAGTGCAGAGGCATAAATGGTCAGGCTGTGTGTTCCTGCGTGCCAGGATACCTTGGCAGTCCACCTAGTTGTAGACCAGAATGCGTGGTTAGCTCTGACTGTCCCAGGAATCGAGCTTGCAACAACCAAAAGTGCATTGATCCTTGCTCTGGCACCTGTGGCTTGAAGGCACTGTGCCAGGTTGTTAATCACAACCCTGTGTGCAGTTGTCCTTCCGATTTCACGGGGGATCCTTTCACTAGATGTGAATTTATCAGTAAGAACCCCTTCCTTTCTTTCCGATCATCTCGTTCCTGAAAACAATGAATCGCAAATCGTTAATGCACGTCGACATTTATTTATTTCGATAGCAATGAGCCCACCACAAGAAGACACCTGTGCGTCTTGCCAGTGCGGTCCCAATTCCGTGTTTCAAACGATCAACGACAAACCGTCCTGTGCCTGTTTGCCCGATTTTATCGGTTCTCCACCAAATTGTAGACCAGAGTGCGTGAGCAATAGCGAGTGCTCCAGCAACATGGCTTGTATCAATCGAAAGTGTAGAGATCCCTGTCCAGGCTCGTGTGGTTCCAATGCTGAGTGCCGAGTGGTCAGTCATACGCCGATGTGCGCCTGCCTGAGTAGTTTCACGGGCGATCCCTTCACTCAGTGCACTCTGAAACTACGTAAGATTTACATCCTTTTACAAGAAACACAAAAATTGTACGTGGGAACATGTAGCTGCCAAGACTTTAGGCTTACCGTGATCAAAGCACAGTGAAAGACCATTTGTTAAATTATTGCGTGAATTTTCTTCCCTGAGAATAACGTCAAAGCAACACAAACACGAAAACGATACAATACTCAAAACATAGAATTTTACAGTATCACCCTTGATGATTAAATCCTTTAATTTTTAACTCTCACTCGGATTCAATACAGGTGGCAGTTACCACATTAATACCTCGAGGATTTAACATTTTACTAAAGATAACAAACGTTAACTTGCTATATGGCTGATTTTATAGCCGAGATCGAACCCACGACGCAGTCCCCATGCGTCCCATCACCTTGCGGTCCAAACGCAGTTTGCAAAGAGCAAAACGGGGCAGGTTCCTGCACCTGTGCTCCGGATTACATAGGCAACCCGTACGAAGGATGTCGACCCGAGTGCACCGTGAACTCTGATTGCCCCTCGAACCTGGCCTGTATCAGGTCCAAGTGTCAGAACCCGTGTCCTGGTACATGCGGTCAGAACGCTGATTGCGCGGTGATCAATCACCTGCCCAGTTGCACTTGTCTGACCGGCTTCACCGGGGATCCCTTCGTGAACTGTTACGTCCAGCCGATAATTAGCCGTAAGTCTGAACGTCAATATGGTCACTCATCATCGTCAACATCACGAATGCGATAGAGCAGACGAGCTAACGTTAGAAATGCTTCTTCATCATATCCATCGTAATACGCCAGTTGGCGAGCATAAACCGCCATTAATCCACTAATCCCAGGGAATAACGCATTTAGAATGGAATGAAACTCGCGTGCACCTAATGTGGAACTAAGATGGCGGATCTTGATACGATTATTCATCACTTGCAGCCATTGCACAGGGAAATCCCTGTAGCCCCTCGCCTTGCGGACCCAATAGCTTGTGCCGTGTGAACAATGGCCAGGCTGTCTGTTCTTGCCTACCTGATTACGTTGGCAGTCCTCCTGGCTGTCGACCAGAGTGCGTAGTCAGCTCAGAATGTCCTCTGAACAGAGCTTGCGTTAATCAGAAATGCACCGAGCCCTGTGCCGATCGCTGCGGCACTAACGCAGACTGCAGAGTCGTGAACCATAGTCCTATCTGCTCCTGCAAGTTGGACTTCACCGGGGACCCCTTCACCAGATGTTTCCCAGCACCAAGTAAGAAGGATTCGAGTGATCCCGTGACAGAGAAATTGTTGGAAAGATTGGTCCTTGTGCTAACGAATGAATCGATGGTTGAAGCGATTCGGATAACTTTAACTGCGCTATCCTCGTTTAGGTGAAGATAAAAACGATCATTTTTGTTTTCACTGAGAGGAGAGGTAGTTTGAGATCTTAGAATCGCTATGTATTATTTTTGCCTGACCGATTAACTTCTCTCTTAACCTGAATGGAGCCTGAACGGAATATATAATCCTATTAAAATTACCCTAAATTAATCACAGAGGTAGAGGTCTAAAATGAGAAGATGAAGAGATTGTGGTTGTGATTGTGACGAATATTGCTACTAAATGAAGAGAAGCATAAAAGAAATTCTTTTCAGAACCATTGCCAACCCCAATTGAAAACCCCTGTGTACCATCCCCCTGTGGGCCGAATTCGGAATGCCGCGATATCGGAGGTTCTCCGTCCTGTTCCTGTTTATCGAACTACATGGGCAGCCCGCCGAATTGTAGACCAGAATGCACCATAAATCCTGACTGTCCCAGCAATAGAGCTTGCATGAGCGAAAAGTGCAGAGACCCGTGCCCCGGCTCCTGTGGATTCGGCGCCATTTGCAACGTGATTCATCACACCCCTGCATGTTCTTGTCCCGAGGGTTTCACGGGAGATCCTTTCAATAGTTGTCAACCACTACCACCTCAGTGTAAGATTTTTCTTTCAGAATCCGAGTATCTTGTCTTTTAATTTCTTCATGAACTCAGCAGGAGTTCGATAAGTTTCCAGCTGACAAAATAGATTATTGTAATAATTTTACAGCCGCGGATGTTCCGTCAGACCCCTGCAACCCCACACCTTGTGGCCCGAACGCGGAATGCAACAATGGCGTTTGCACTTGCCTCCCCGAGTACCGAGGAAACCCCTACGAACTCTGTCGACCTGAATGCATCCTCAACAACGACTGCCCCCAGAATAGAGCTTGCGTTCGCAACAAATGCGTTGACCCTTGTGTAGGAACCTGCGGACAGAACGCAATTTGTAACGCGTACAATCACGTTCCTATGTGCAGCTGTCCTGCTGGAATGTCTGGAAATGCATTCGTGCTCTGTAGCGTCTCAAGAGGTGTATATTTCTCAGCTGATTCTGATTTAATAACATATTTTACGGTTTCTATAATTTAACGTTTCCTCTTAGAACCGATTGGACCAGTAGACCCTTGCAGACCGTCTCCTTGCGGACCCAACAGCCAGTGCCGCGTGGTGAACGAGCAAGCAGTTTGTTCTTGCGTTCAGGGTTACCTGGGAACTCCACCTTCTTGCAGACCAGAATGCGTGGTCAGTTCAGACTGTCCACGAAATCTGGCTTGCAACAACCAGAAATGCGTAGATCCTTGCTTGGGCACCTGTGGATTGAGAACTCAGTGTCAGGTGGTGAACCATAATCCTATTTGTAGTTGTCTTCAGAGACTTTCCGGAGACCCCTTCACCAGATGCGACCCTATAAGTAAGGAATATTCACAGTGAATTAGTCCACGTTGTCAATGAATATTATTTCGCTAAGCTTCTTCAATTACGAATTTTATCCCATAGTCGAAACAGCCGTCGAGCTCGCGAACCCCTGTCAACCATCTCCCTGTGGTCCCAACGCTCAGTGTCGCGTCGTGAACGACTCGCCCTCTTGCACTTGCGTGTCAGAGTTCATTGGAACGCCACCGAATTGTAGACCCGAGTGTGTTAGTAACAGCGAGTGTGGTTCCCATCTCGCCTGCATGAATCAGAAGTGTCGAGACCCATGTCCTGGTGCTTGTGGATCCAACACGGAGTGCCGTGTTGTCAGTCACACCCCTATGTGTGTCTGCTTGAGCGGTTACACTGGGGACCCCTTCACTCAGTGCACGATCCAACAACGTAAGCATAAATTGTCATCGAATGATATTATACTTTTATCAAATTAGTGTCAACGAACACGCGATGCATTTAACATCTCATCTTAGCAACGGTCCTTGAGAACGTGTCACCCTGCACGCCATCGCCCTGCGGAGCAAACGCAATGTGCAAAGAGCAATACGGAGCAGGTTCTTGCACCTGTTTGCCAGACTATATTGGAAATCCCTACGAAGGATGTCGCCCAGAGTGCACCGTGAACTCTGACTGCGTATCCAATATGGCTTGCGTGCGTTCCAAGTGCCAAGATCCCTGTCCAGGAACCTGTGGTCAAAACTCAATTTGCCAAGTGATCAATCACTCACCAGCGTGCACTTGCATGCCTGGGTTCACTGGCGATCCCTTCAGATACTGCAATCCTATTACTCAAGCTGGTAATTACACGAGATTCTCTAAACCTTTCTTAAAAGCAGATATACTCTATCAAATTGGGATGAAAGAATTAAACGTTGACTCCACTCTGGATTCTTTGGAAATTAGAATCAGTCCCAAGAGAACCCTGCAATCCATCCCCCTGTGGACCAAACAGCCAATGTCGGGCCGTCAACAACCAACCAGTTTGCACCTGCCTACCAGAATATATAGGAAGTCCCCCTGGATGTCGCCCAGAGTGCGTAATGAGCTCGGAATGTCCGTCAAATAGAGCTTGCGTGAACAACAAGTGTGTTAATCCTTGCCCCCAGCCCTGTGGTTTGAGCACCAACTGCATGGTGTTAAATCACAGCCCCATTTGCAGTTGCAAACAAGGCTTCACTGGAGATCCCTTCAGTAGATGCTTCCCTGTGCCAAGTAAGACGGATCAGACGACCTAATTTTATTCTCCATGTATATTATGATTTTTACAACAACATTCTTTCAGAACCTGCACCTGGCCCAGTTGTTCAGAACCCCTGCGTACCCTCACCTTGCGGACCCTATGCAGAATGTCGCGATATTGGTGGCGCGCCATCTTGCTCTTGTCTTAGCTCCTATATCGGAAGCCCACCAAACTGTAGACCCGAGTGCACTATCAATTCTGACTGCCCCAGTAGTCAGGCTTGCATGAACGAGAGATGTAGAGACCCCTGCCCTGGTTCTTGCGGATTATCGGCTACCTGTAACGTAATTAATCACACGCCATCTTGCACGTGTCCAGAAGATTTCACGGGAGATCCTTTCACGAACTGTTACCTCAAACGTAAGCAATTTTCTGAGAAATTTCATCGGACTTTGAATTTCCTCGCGTTTGTAATCGGATTTAGACAGCTCGATTCATTCTCTTCTCGGAAATCCTGAATGTACTGAAAAATTGTTAATAATCCAGCAATGGAAGAGCCAGTGAGACCTGCTGACCCCTGCAACCCCAGTCCCTGCGGTCCAAACGCGGTGTGCACCGAAGGTAGCTGCACTTGTCTTTCCGACTACCAAGGAGACCCCTACATAGGCTGCCGTCCAGAGTGTGTCCTCAACAACGACTGCCCCTTGACTCAAGCCTGCATTCGCAATAAATGCGTAGATCCTTGTCCTGGAACTTGTGGTCAGAATGCACAGTGCAACGTGTACAACCATGTTCCCATGTGTAGCTGTCTGCCTGGAATGACAGGGAACGCTTTCCTTTCTTGTCGTCCAAGCAGAGGTAGGTGAACCACTCGAGCAACTGATCATAGATACAAGCGGAACAACCTCTATTCTCAATTTTACCCATTTTAGGTCCCGAAGATCCCTGCAATCCGTCACCTTGCGGACCTAGCAGTGTCTGTCGCGTAGTAAACGAGCAAGCCGTATGCTCCTGCGTATCCAGTTTCATAGGAACACCTCCGTCCTGCAGACCAGAATGTACCGTGAGTTCAGATTGCCCGAAGAATCAGGCGTGCAGCAATCAGAAGTGCATAAATCCCTGCGCGGGTTCCTGCGGTGTCAGGTCTCAGTGTCAAGTGATCAATCATAATCCGCTCTGTAGTTGTCCAGCTGGGTTCACGGGCGATCCATTCGTCAGATGCGAACCTAAACGTGAGCGCGATATACTATAGCTAATCTCTGAAAGCTTGACTTCAGTTGAACGGTTCTCGTAACGGCTTGCTGTTCGTCTTCGTTTCAGTGGAGGAGCCAGTGACACCTATCAATCCCTGTCAACCATCTCCATGTGGGCCGAACGCGGTTTGCCAGGTGGTGAACGATTCTCCTTCTTGTTCTTGCATACCCGAGTTCGTCGGAGCACCACCGAATTGTAGACCCGAGTGCATTAGTAACAGCGAATGCGCTAGCAATTTAGCCTGCATGAGAAACAAATGCACAGATCCCTGTCCTGGATCCTGTGGCTCTAACGCCGAGTGTCGGGTTGTGAGTCACACCGCCATGTGCGTGTGTTTGATCGGTTACGAGGGAGACCCGTTCACCCAGTGTACCTTGAAACAGAGTAAGAAAGTCTGCCGATATTTCAAAACAGAGAGTAATGCTCCTTCTATAAACAGACTTGCTTTCGTATTTTAGCCCAAATACAACTAGTTGCCTCATCCCCCTGCACACCGTCACCCTGTGGTTCGAACGCTGTTTGCAAAGAGCAAGGTGGAGTCGGTTCCTGCTCCTGTTTGCCTGACTATATAGGAAATCCTTACGAAGGCTGTCGTCCAGAGTGTATCATGAACTCTGATTGCATATCCACTCGCGCTTGCATTCGTTCCAAGTGCCAAGATCCTTGTCCTGGAGCTTGTGGCACGAATGCTGAATGCCAGGTCGTCAATCATTTGCCAAACTGTAATTGCTTCCCTGGTTACACGGGCCAACCTTATCAATTCTGTCAACTAATCACAACGCAACTTGGTAAACAAACACTTCTAAATTTTTAATTTCCATTCAGTTTAATTTATAGAGAATTAGAACGTTCATGAACTTATTCCTTTGATAGTCGACGATCGGAGAGATCCATGTTCCCCATCACCCTGTGGACCGAACAGTAGATGTCAAGTCGTTAACGATCAGGCAGTTTGTTCTTGCCTGCCAGAATTTACTGGTTCACCCCCGGGTTGCCGACCAGAGTGCGTGGTTAGCGCAGAATGTCTACCGAATTTAGCTTGTGTTAATCAGAAATGCAAAAATCCTTGTCCTGGACCGTGTGGTATCGACTCGGAGTGCAACGTAATTCATCATAGTCCTATCTGTGCCTGTAGACAGAGATACACTGGTGATCCTTTCAGTCGTTGTTTCCCTATACCAGGTGAGAATATCTTTCTTTAATTCTTTAAACAGTACTTCATATTTTCTTTTAAATTAACTCCATCGATTCACGTGGCTAAGACTCCGGTTCCTCTGTGACACTTTGCCCATTATTTCTAGAATCTCCACCAGCTCTGGTACCATACAACCCATGTGTTCCTTCACCCTGCGGTCCAAACGCAGAGTGTCGCGACGCTAACGGCATACCCTCCTGTTCCTGTTTGCAAGCCTATATAGGAAGTCCTCCGAACTGTCGGCCAGAGTGCACAGTGAACTCTGACTGTTCCCCTAGTCAGGCCTGCATACGGGAAAAGTGCAGAGACCCTTGTCCCGGTTCCTGCGGCACTTTTGCTCAGTGTTCCGTGATGAATCATGTACCAATCTGTAGCTGCTTCGAGGGCTACACTGGGGATCCGTTCAGCAACTGCTATCCTAAGCCACCACCACGTGAGACAGTTTTGCAATTCAAAACTCTATAAAGATCTATAGTTAGCTCTACAGTTGTCACATTATTCTCCTAATTTTTTAGAACCAACAGTTTCCGACGACCCTTGCAATCCATCACCCTGTGGACCAAACGCAGAGTGCAACAATGGCATTTGCACCTGTTTACCAGAGTACAGAGGAGATCCCAACACAGGATGTAGACCCGAGTGTGTCCTCAATACGGACTGCCCCGTGAATCAGGCTTGCGTTCGCAACAAGTGTAGCGATCCTTGCGTTGGTACTTGTGGACAGAACGCTATTTGCAACGTCTTCAATCATATTCCCATGTGCAGTTGCCCTTCTGGCATGAGTGGCAATGCTTTCGTCTTTTGTTCCCCGATCCAAGGTACTTAACGTCACTTAACTCAGACGTTCTGTTAACTATTCATTATCCCGAGCGTCGATGATCTTCACTTCTTCGTGTTCCCTTTAGAAGTAACCCCGGAAACACCGTGCAATCCATCTCCATGCGGTCAGAACAGTCAATGTCGTCCAATTAATGGTCAAGCGGTCTGTAGCTGCGTGCCAGGCTATAAAGGAAGTCCTCCATCTTGTAGACCAGAGTGCGTAGTCAGTTCGGACTGCGGCAGGAACGAGGCATGCAGTAATCTCAAGTGTGTGAACCCCTGTGTGGGAAGTTGTGGTATCCGTGCACAATGCCAAGTCATCAATCACAATCCCATATGCAGTTGCCCTGCATCATTGTCCGGGGACCCGTTCGTCAGATGCGACCCTATTCGTAAGGATTCTTTTAGTTTCCAAGAAAGGAACACTGTGCAACCTTCTCGTACTCCTTTCATTAGTCAAACTGTATGATTCGCTTGTTATCAAATCTTTTTAGCGGAAACCAAACCAGAAATTATAAACGCGTGCAAGCCATCACCGTGTGGCCCTAATGCGCTCTGCCAGGTGGTAAACGACTCCCCATCGTGCACCTGTATGCCAGGATTTATTAACTCCCCACCCAACTGCCGCCCAGAATGTGTCAGTAATAGCGAGTGCTTAGCACACCACGCTTGCATAAATCAAAAGTGCAGAGATCCGTGTCCTGGCTCGTGTGGAGCGAACGCAGAATGTCGCGTGGTCAGCCATACCCCCATGTGTGTTTGTTCCATTGGGTTCACAGGTGACCCGTTCACGCAATGCGTTCTGTTCGAAGAATGTAAGGAACATATACCTTTCTTCGACTCAACTTTATCTCTCAGGCTAGTTTGCCTTATGTCAATTTTATTTTATCCCTTAGCGAGACCAACTTCTCCCTGCACGCCATCACCCTGTGGCTCGAACGCCATTTGTAAAGAGCAGAACGGGGTTGGATCTTGTGCCTGCTTGCCAGAATACATTGGCAATCCGTATGAAGGATGTCGACCAGAGTGCACTATTAGTTCGGACTGTTCTTCGAATCTTGCTTGTATAAGGAATAAGTGTCAGAATCCTTGTCCTGGGACGTGCGGACAGGATGCTATTTGTCAAGTGATTAACCATTCGCCCACGTGTACCTGTATTCCTGGTTTCACGGGAGATCCATTCAGATATTGCCAGCTTATGAGAGAACCTGGTAAAGTATTTTAGTATACGAAACAAGAAATGTAATACAAATAAACTAATGGTAATATTTCGTGAATTGTTCTTTTATTTTATCACGAAATGTCACTGTCTGTTTAATTGTATCACAGTTCCACGGAAAAAGGATACCTAGTACATCCTTATTCTTATAGTGAATTTCATTAACATTTATATTTCTCAGACAAAGTAGAAGATCAATCAGACCCCTGTGTTCCATCACCCTGTGGACCAAACAGTCAATGCCGTGTGGTTTCCGGTAACGCAGTGTGCTCGTGCCTACCCGAGTATTCCGGTAGTCCTCCTATGTGTCGACCAGAGTGTGTAGTTAGCTCAGATTGTCCCTCGAATCGAGCTTGTGTGAATCAGAAATGCGTGAATCCCTGCCCACAGCCATGTGGACAGAATACTAATTGTCTAGTCGTGAATCACAGTCCCATTTGTACCTGCAAAGAAGGAAATACTGGAAATCCATTCACCAGATGTTTCCCTCTTCCAAGTAAGTCTCCGAAGACTTTTATCCTGTACCCCGTACGAGACAGTCTATCTAATAACTCATTCGATGAATTATTTCCACAGCTCAGGCAACTTTACCCGATCTACCTCAGAACCCCTGTGTACCATCTCCCTGTGGCCCATATTCAGAATGTCGAGACATCGGTGGTACCCCGTCTTGTTCCTGTTTAGCTAATTATTTCGGTAGCCCACCGAACTGTAGGCCAGAATGTACAGTGAACTCGGATTGTCCAAGTGACAGGGCATGCATCAGACAGAGATGCACTGATCCTTGTCCTGGATCTTGTGGCTTATCCGCACGTTGTACCGTTTTCAATCATGTTCCGGTTTGCACCTGTCTGGAAGGATTCACTGGCGATCCTTTCAGCAGCTGTTCTCCTACTCCACGTAAGATTTATTTCAATAAGTGTAGAATATTCACTAGTTTGGATTAGGAAATTGATGATTAATCGGAGGATATTTTATAGCCGTAGAAACGGTCCCTGAAGACCCATGCAATCCATCGCCATGTGGTCCAAACACGCAATGCAACAATGGTGCTTGCACGTGTTTGGCAGAGTACCAGGGCGATCCTTACGTGGGCTGTCGACCAGAGTGTGTTCTAAACACGGATTGTCCTTTGAACAGAGCTTGTTTGCGCAATAAGTGTGTCGATCCCTGCGTTGGCACATGTGGTCAAAGTGCAGTCTGTAACGTGTACAATCATATACCGATGTGCAGTTGTCCCGTTGGTATGACTGGGAATGCATTCCTATCTTGCAGTCCATTCAGAGGTATAATAATTAGAGAAACCTTAATTGATCGTATTGAAAAATCTTCAAGAGGATTAGTTAATTCTTCTCTCAATAGAACCTGTTGCAACGAATCCCTGTAATCCATCTCCCTGTGGACCGAACAGTCAGTGCAGAGAAATAAACGAGCAAGCCGTGTGCACTTGCATCCCTGGTTTCATTGGCATACCACCAACGTGTAGACCAGAATGCGTAGTGAGCACGGATTGCGGACCAACTGAAGCATGCATCAATCAGAAATGTAGTAATCCGTGTGTTGGATCTTGCGGCATCAGGGCAACTTGCCAAGTGGTCAATCATAATCCAATTTGTAACTGTCCTGCCACCATGACCGGTGATCCATTTATTAGATGCACGGAGAAACGTAAGAGTCGAACGACATTTAGCAAAATGTGAGTGGTCTTGAGAACACTTGAGTTCAAGCAACTGGATTTTATTTTAGCACTGGAAGCACCACCGCAACAGAACCCCTGTGAACCATCTCCCTGTGGTCCAAATGCACAGTGTCAGGTGATCAATGACTCCCCATCGTGCTCTTGTCTGCCAGAGTTCACTGGTCCACCGCCCAATTGTAGACCAGAGTGCATTAGCAACAACGAGTGTCAAAATAATCTAGCTTGCATCAATCAAAAATGCAGGGATCCTTGTCCAGGTTCCTGTGGCTCCAACGCTATATGCAATACAGTGTCTCATACACCGATGTGCACTTGTTCCCCAGGATACACTGGAGATCCATTCACTCAATGTTTCACGCAACAACGTAAGATAATTCTAGACTCTTTTTAGAAATCGACGATGACTGCTCACCTCTCAGAATTAATTGTCAATTTTTTAGTTATACCAATGTACGTCCCTGAACCTTGCGTACCATCTCCTTGCGGAGCAAACGCGCTCTGCAAGGAACGAAACGGAGTAGGGGCATGCAGTTGTTTGCCAGATTATGTCGGCAATCCGTACGAAGGTTGTCGACCAGAGTGTGTGATAAATTCAGATTGTATCCCAAGCAAGAGCTGTGTCCGATCCAAATGCGAAGATCCTTGTCCCGGTACCTGTGGTCAAAACGCAGTTTGTCAAGTAATCAACCACGTTGCCACTTGCAACTGCTTGCCAAGGTTCACTGGAGATCCTTTCAGATACTGCAGAGAAGAAGAGATAGGTACGTGAATCGAGACAGACCTTTGAGGCTAAAAGATTGCCAAACTTGACAGTGACACTTTTGCTTAAAACAGTCACCACACCGAGCGTGAGAAACCCTTGTCAACCATCACCCTGTGGACCAAATAGCGTCTGCAGAGAGAATAACGGGCAAGCAGTGTGCTCTTGCTTACCAGAGTTCCGTGGTTCACCCCCAGGATGTAGGCCAGAATGTGTAGTTAGCGCAGAATGCTCACCAGATCGTGTCTGCGTTAATCAGAAGTGCATTGATCCCTGTCCTGATCCCTGTGGAAGGAACGCAATATGTAGGGTTATCAATCGCAGTCCTATCTGCACCTGTCAACAAGGCTACACAGGAGATGCCTTCACCATCTGTTTCCCTCTTCCACGTTTGTATTCTATACTGAGATTTATTTTCAAACAAACAGGTCTAAAATTTCTCGTAATTATTTCTATTCCTTTCTACAGGTCCACCACTGGAGCCTGTAACACCTGTGCAACAAGATCCTTGTTTACCATCTCCTTGTGGTCCATACTCCCAGTGCCGAAATATCGGTGGAAATCCCTCTTGCTCTTGTTCGCCCTCCTATATCGGTGTACCACCAAACTGTAGACCAGAATGCACGTTGAATGCGGAATGCCCGAGTGCACTTGCTTGCATTCGCGAGAAATGTTCAGATCCATGTCCAGGATCCTGCGGTGTTGGAGCACGATGCACCATTCTTAACCATCTTCCAGTGTGTTCTTGTCCTGAAGGATATACCGGAGATCCGTTTAACAGCTGTGTCCCAAAGCCCATTATATGTGAGAATCTTTTTCTGATTTAAAATTAATTATTATTTCGATAACGAAAATCTTAATAGGCTAACTTGACGTTTATTCACCGCCTAATTCTCTGGATAATGGTCCTGATTTATATACAGCCGAAGAAACCGTGTCAGATCCCTGCAACCCCTCGCCATGTGGTACAAATGCGCTCTGTCGAGATGGCTCCTGCACGTGTCTTCCCGAATTCCAAGGCGATCCATACAGTGGCTGTCGTCCCGAGTGTGTCATGAACAATGACTGCACTCGTGACAGGGCTTGCTTAAGGAACAAATGCGTGGACCCGTGCATAGGAACTTGCGGGCAAAATGCACAGTGCCAGACGATTAATCATGTCCCTATGTGCAGCTGTCCAACTGGCATGTCCGGGAATGCATTCGTTTCCTGTTCTCCAGTTCAGGGTACGATACATCAAATTTCCTCTTATTTGCTTCCACGCGATTGAAAGTTGAACCTGCCTCATTCAAACGTCTTGTTCTTTTATCAGAAGACGTAGTACAAAACCCCTGCTCTCCATCACCCTGTGGACCAAATAGCCACTGTCAGGAAGTAAATGGAATTGCAGTTTGCAAGTGCATAGAAGGTTTCACAGGCAACCCGCCTACTTGCCGGCCAGAGTGTGTCGTTAGTTCGGATTGCGAGCTTTCCAAGGCTTGCATCAATCAGAAGTGCAGAGATCCTTGCCCTGGCACTTGCGGTCTGAGAGCAGAGTGTTCCGTGGTCAATCATAATCCCATTTGCAGGTGTCCTCAAGGCCTAAGTGGTGATCCTTTCACCAACTGTATTGTCATAGGTGAGATATAGCATCAAGAGTAACGTGTCAAGATAGTAGTGTCAATATTTCAAGTTTATAACTATTTTTATTCGATTCGTTCCATAGTTGAAGTATCTTCAGAACCAATCAATCCCTGTTATCCATCACCTTGTGGCCCAAATGCCCAATGCCAAGTCACGAATCAAGCACCTTCTTGCTCCTGTTTACCGGAATTCACGGGTACTCCACCGAATTGTAAACCAGAGTGCATTACGAACACCGAGTGTCCGATTCGTCAGGCCTGTATCAATCAGAAATGCAGAGATCCTTGCCCTGGTTTATGCGGAGCTAACGCTGAATGCAGCATGTTTAGTCACACCCCGATTTGCTCCTGTCGAACAGGATTCACTGGGGATCCTTTTGTTCAGTGTACTACCGTGCAAAGTAAGTTTGCTCCTCTTTTACTTCGGTAAAAAAATTACATTTTTCCTGTTCTTTTAATTCACGAACCCTTCGAGTCTTCATAAAAATCATTTTCTGAATTAATCTAACTCTCTGTCCTTCCTAGTTGACGAAGAAAGACCTACGCCCTGCAGCCCGACACCATGTGGCGCGAATGCAGTGTGCAAGGTATCAGGGAATGCAGGATCTTGCTCCTGCTTGCCTGATTATATCGGAAACCCATACGATGGTTGCAGACCAGAGTGTGTCGTGAATTCCGATTGTCCAGCGAACTTCGCTTGCATAAGATCAAAATGCCAAGACCCATGTCCGGGTGCTTGCGCTCCGAATGCCATGTGCAATGCTGTGAACCACTTGCCAGTGTGCACTTGCATACAGGGATACAGTGGAGATCCGTTTAGATACTGCAGTTTGAGTCCAGTGAAACGTAAGAGTCAATTTTACATGTTTAGAAGAAGTCCAAGTGGTATAGATCAAACGTGGGATTGAATATTCCAACAAAAGTCTTGAAAACTGGACATTCCCATAGAATTTATATCACTGGATGTCAAATCACTAGCCACATCAATACTGTTATTCTATCAACTTCTAGAAGAAGACGAGGTAGCAAATCCTTGCAACCCTTCGCCCTGTGGTCCAAACAGCGAATGTCGCGTGAACAACAACCAAGCAGTATGCTCCTGTCTTTCGTCCTACCTTGGTAGTCCACCTAATTGCAGACCCGAGTGCGTGGTCAGTACCGAGTGTCCTTTGACACGTGCCTGTGTGAGTCAGAAATGCGTGGATCCGTGTCCCAATGCGTGTGGCACGAACGCCAATTGCAGGGTTATCAACCACAGTCCGATTTGCTTCTGCAACAACGGATTCACTGGTGATCCATTCGTTACCTGCTTCCGTGTTCCTGGTACGATCAATTTTTCAGACATTTGACTCATAATTCGCATAATTCGTATTCATTAGATACATTCTTCGATAGTGTCCGTGGAGTTGATACCAATGGTGCAAAGGGACCCATGTTCGCCATCTCCATGCGGTCCCAACGCCATTTGCCAGAACGTCGGCCAAACTCCAGCTTGCACTTGCGTGTCAAACTATCGTGGCAGTCCACCAAACTGTAGACCAGAGTGTACGATTAATTCCGAGTGTCCTAGTAACCAGGCATGCATCCAAGAAAGGTGCAAAGACCCTTGTCCAGGTTCTTGCGGTTTCAATGCTCAATGCACAGTGTTCAATCACGTCCCCGTGTGTTCGTGCATCGAAGGGTACACTGGCGATCCGTTCAGTCAGTGCAATCAAGAGATCAAACCTCGTAAGTAGGAATCATGCAATAAGCTTCTTCAATTTATCACTGATATTAGATGGGAAAAATATAAAATTGACGTGAAATCTCGATATCAGCTGAACCAGTAGAAACAGACTTGTGTAATCCATCTCCATGTGGACCCAACGCTCAGTGCGACAATGGAATCTGTTCCTGCATGACCGATTACTACGGTGATTCGACTATAGGTTGTCGACCAGAGTGTGTACTGAACAACGACTGTCCACGAAATAGAGCTTGCGTGAGGAACAAGTGCGAGGACCCTTGCATTGGCACGTGTGCCAGTAACGCTATTTGCAGCGTGATCAATCACGTGCCAATGTGCAGTTGCCCTACTGGTTTCGAAGGGAATGCTTTTACATTCTGTCGTCCAGCAATAGGTATTTCATTGTTACGTTTTCCTGTTAAATCGTTTAATTCGGAAAATTAATTTCAACAATTTCGACAGCCGAGCTGCCATCCAATCCATGCAATCCGTCTCCTTGCGGACCTAATAGCCAGTGTCGATCGAACAATGGCCAAGCAATTTGCAGTTGCGTACCAGGTTACTTAGGAAATCCACCAAACTGTCGTCCAGAGTGTACAGTTAGCTCGGATTGTTCGCCAAACGAAATTTGCTCGAATCAGAAATGCAGGAATCCTTGCATCGGCACGTGTGGCTTAGGAGCTCGTTGCACAGTCGCGAATCGTAATCCTATTTGTCACTGTCCTGAAGGATTCACGGGAGATCCATTCGTCAGATGTCTTTCCCTTCGTAAGTTCTTTTTAATTATCACATACACGTGAAGTCCTGGACATTAGATTCAATATTCAAATGATACTTGTAGCACCAGTTCCACCAGAACAGACAAACGTCTGCCAGCCATCACCATGTGGACCCAACGCACAGTGTCAAATATCAGGAAATTCACCTTCCTGTACTTGTTTGCCCGATTTTGTTGGCTCTCCACCTAACTGCAGGCCTGAGTGCATCAGCAATAGCGAATGTCTGAGCCACCAGGCCTGCGTGAACCAACGGTGTAGAGATCCTTGTATTGGTTCCTGTGGAGCAAATGCACAGTGTCGCACTGTCAGTCACACACCTATGTGCTACTGCGAGACTGGCTACACTGGCGATCCATTTACTCAATGCTTCTTCAGACCTAGTAAGAATATTAGATATATCAGTAATTGATATTATTTTTATTATTATTTAATCGTTCTAAAAACATAGATTGTTTTAAGCAAGATAATGATATTTAGATTTCAGACGAATTCGTATAGCCTATTACGATAATTTAGCGTCATTCAAAATTATGTTTAATATTCGAGGGGAAGTTAGATTACAGCAAGTTTCATCATTTTAGTCGATGACATACCGGAAAAAGTGAATCCATGCTTGCCATCCCCATGCGGCCCCAACGCAAGGTGCACAGAAAGGAACAACGTAGGCTCCTGTACCTGTGTTCCGGGTTACCTAGGCAATCCTTACGAAGGGTGCAGACCAGAATGTGTCCTAGATTCAGATTGCTCGCCTACTCGGACTTGCGTCAATTCCAAATGCATTGACCCGTGTCCAGGAACATGTGGCACTAACGCAGAGTGCCGCGTTATCAACCACCGTGGTTCTTGCTCTTGTTTCTCTGGTTACACCGGTGATCCCTATCGGTATTGCTCTGTCCAACCCGTTGGTAAGTCCGAGCCACTCTGAACCTCTTATCAATCACCGGTCAAAGAAATTATTCGACGAAATACCCAACAGTTTCCGACGTACCTGCGAGCGACCCCTGTGGAAATGGCCAGTGTGGTCCAAACAGTCAATGCAGAGTAATAAATCAAGTGGCAGTTTGCTCTTGCATGCCTAACTACATGGGTACACCTCCAGCTTGTAGGCCAGAATGTGTCACTAGCTCAGAGTGCTCCGCTGACAAGGCGTGCGTGAATCAGAAATGCGTGAACCCGTGTCCAGCCTCGTGTGGACAGAACTCTGACTGTAGGGTGATCAATCATGCACCCTTGTGCAATTGTATGAGAGGATACACAGGTGATCCGTTCTCCGTGTGCTTCCCTGTTCCGTGTAAGTAGAACGCGCAGATTTCGGTATTTTCTTCCATCTAATTATTCAATTACGAGTTTATTGTACTTTATCGTACATTACCAATTTCAGTGATACCACCAATTCAGAACGACCTCGTTCCAAAAGATCCTTGCATTCCATCCCCCTGTGGAGCCTATTCGGAATGTCGGAACATCGGAGGTGTTCCATCCTGCTCGTGTTTGGCCACCTACACCGGAAGTCCACCAAACTGTCGACCAGAGTGCACCATTAACTCAGACTGTCCTCCCAGTCAAGCTTGCATGCAGCAAAGATGCAGGGATCCTTGCCCTGGATCTTGTGCTTCGCTAGCTCAGTGCACTGTTATCAATCATGTGCCAACTTGCTCTTGTCTACCTGGTTATACTGGAGATCCCTTCACTAATTGTATTATCGAACCACGTAAGGATCCGAACGTGCATTTTAAGTTTAAAATTGTTCCAAGAATCATTGCACCACTTTCTCACACTGCACTATTATAGCTCGACCCGTTGAAACTGATCCTTGCGCGTCTTCACCTTGCGGATCAAACGCGCGTTGCGACAATGGCGTCTGCTCCTGTCTGCCAGAATATTTCGGAGACCCATACGCGGGTTGCAGACCAGAGTGCGTTCTAAGCAACGAATGTCCAACCACCAGAGCTTGCATTCGTAACAAATGTGTCGATCCCTGTGTCGGTGTTTGCGGACAGAATGCGTTGTGCAACGTCTTCAATCATGTACCAATGTGTAGTTGTCCGTCCGGAATGTCAGGAAACGCTTTCGTGCTCTGCTCCCCCGTTCAAGGTATGACAGTGTCCTGAAAAACTCGTTGTTTGAACCATAAAATAGCAATAATAGAAGCATCGTCGTGATAAAAATTCTGAAATAATTTTAGTGACCGCGGTCAGTGATCCCTGCAACCCTTCGCCATGCGGTCCCAACAGCCGGTGCAAACAGAATAACATGCAAGCCTTATGTTCTTGCATAAGCGGATACATTGGAGCACCTCCTACTTGCAGGCCAGAGTGCGTGGTTAGCTCTGATTGTCCACTGAACGAGGCTTGCACCAATCAGAGGTGTAGAGACCCTTGTCCAGGAAGCTGTGGATTGAACGCGATCTGTAACGTTGTTAACCATAATCCTCTGTGCTCTTGTCGGGAAAGGATGACCGGTGATCCCTTCATTAGATGTTATCCCATGCGTAAGAACGATAAAAATTATTGCTTCACTTTATTTCGCACCCCTGATGTTCGAAACATTAAGAATAATTGCATGTATTTAAACCTTGAAGCCGAGAGACCGCCAGCACCCATCAACCCCTGTCAGCCATCTCCCTGTGGACCAAACGCGGAGTGCCAGGTAGTCAATGACCAACCATCTTGTTCTTGCCTTCGAGAATTCACAGGATCACCTCCTAACTGTCGTCCGGAGTGCATCAGCAACAGCGAATGCTCGAATCAATTAGCTTGCATCAACCAGAAGTGTCGAGATCCTTGCACAAATGCCTGTGGTGTGAACGCGGTTTGCAACGTGGTCAGCCACACTCCCATGTGTGCTTGCTCTAATGGCTACGCTGGAGATCCGTTCACGCAATGTCTACCACAACAGTGTAAGAACAGATAACGAATTTGAGTCGAATCACTCTTACACGAACGTACCAAGTCCAGGTTAAGATCTTTCCGAATATTTTTAGTCGACGTTCAAATTAGCAGACCAGATCCCTGCGCTCCATCCCCTTGTGGCGCAAACGCGATCTGTCGAGTCCAACAGAACTCAGCTTCCTGCTCCTGTCAGAACGACTACATTGGAAACCCTTACGACGGATGCAGGCCAGAATGTACCCTCAGCTCAGACTGCCCGTCCAATCAGGCTTGTATCAGATCGAAATGCAGAGATCCTTGTCCTGGAACTTGTGGTCAGAATGCCCAGTGTTACGCTGTGAATCATGCAGCTACTTGCAGCTGTTTCGAACGATACACTGGTGATCCTTTCGTGTACTGCAGTCCATTCAGAGAACCGCGTAAGATAACTTCAGAGATTCCATCTGTAACAGAGAAGCGTCCCAATCGATAGGATCAGCCAATAATACCGCATCCTCTTTCAGAACCCGAACCTAATCTTGCCAATCCCTGCGACCCATCACCGTGTGGAGCTTACAGTCAGTGCAAAGCGATTAACGGACAAGCCACGTGTTCTTGTCTGCCAACTTACATGGGAACACCACCAAACTGCAAACCAGAGTGTACAGTGAGCTCTGATTGCCCGTTAAACCTGGCTTGTAAGAACAACAAGTGTATCAACCCTTGCCCTGACTCTTGTGGTCAACAGAGCACTTGCAGAATCGTGAACCATAGCCCCATCTGCAGTTGTAAACCAGGTTTCACTGGTGATCCTTTCACTTACTGTTTCTTCAATCCACGTAAGCGTTCGACCATTTAACAGAGTACTCTTGCATTAGAAGGAATTTAAGATAATTATGACAAATCTGAAATTTTAGCTGCAACCACTGTCGAAACACCGGTAGACCCCTGTATTAATTCGCCATGCGGACCCAATTCCCAGTGCCGTAACATTAACGGTTCCCCGTCGTGCTCTTGCCTGCCTAATTACATTGGTTCTCCACCTAATTGTCGCCCAGAGTGCGTGATCAACGCAGATTGTCCCAGAAATCAGGCATGCGTTCGCGAGAAGTGTCAGGATCCTTGCCCAGGATCTTGCGGAATTAACAGTCTCTGCAGCGTACACAATCACGTCCCAGTTTGTGCGTGTATAGAGGGATACAAAGGGGATCCTTTCATTAGTTGTCAATTCATACCGATGAGTAAGTTGCACAAAGCACTTAAAACAAATATAACACTAGTGAAACGTCATTGATAAATTTGTGACATCGGAACAGAAGTGGAGGAGCCTGTGACAGACCCATGCAGTCAGTCTCCGTGTGGTTCCAACACCCAGTGCGATAACGGAGTTTGCACTTGTCTGGCAGAGTACTTTGGTAACCCATATACCGGGTGTCGACCAGAATGCGTGTTGAGTACAGACTGTTCGAACGACAAGGCGTGTATAAGGAACAAATGCGTCGATCCTTGCCCTGGAGCTTGCGGTCAGAATGCGCAATGCAATGTGATTAATCACATACCGATGTGCAGTTGCCCCCCTGCTACCAATGGCAACGCCTTGATCGTGTGCTCGCCTGTGCAAGGTACACCTGGTTTTCTCTAATTACCTTTCCCGATAATTATCACTTCCGGTAGAATATCGCTGATGAACCTTAACGATTCAATCGTAGTACCCACCACTACGAGACCTTGCAACCCAACACCGTGTGGTCCAAATAGCATATGTAGAGAGGTGAACGATCAGGCTGTGTGTACCTGCGCCCCAGAGTACCTTGGAACTCCACCTCTATGTAGGCCGGAATGCCTGGTCAGTTCGGACTGTCGGAAGAACCTGGCTTGCGTGAACCAGAAGTGTAGAGATCCGTGCCCAGGAACGTGTGGTATACAGGCGACTTGTCTTGTGGTGAATCATAATCCTGTTTGCTCATGCCCGGAGCGATACACGGGGGATCCGTTCATCAGATGCGAGATGATCAGTAAGATATTGGGATATTCTTGGAATAACCATAAAGTTGATTTTATGAGCTATGGTTCAACCTCCCCGATAAAATGAGGTAATAATACAGGCCGCTTCGTTCTTTGTAGAAGAGGTAATAACGCCCACGAATCCCTGTCAACCATCACCCTGCGGCCCATATTCCCAGTGTCAAGTGGTCAACGACAACCCGTCGTGCAGTTGTCTGCCCGAATACAGAGGCGTCCCACCAAATTGCAAACCCGAGTGCATATCAAACTCCGAGTGCCCCAGCCACCAAACGTGCGTCCAACAAAAGTGCAGAGATCCTTGCCCAGGTCTCTGTGGAGAGAGTGCAGAGTGTCACGTGACCTATCACGTACCTAATTGCATTTGCCCGAATGGTTTCACTGGCGATCCTTATACTCGTTGCGCGATAATAAGTAAGCAATGGAAAGATGGAGGAAAAGCAATAAGCATGCGATCATCCTGACCAAACTAATCGTGATTTTCAACTGTTCTAGCTCGCGACCCGGAACCCTCACCCTGTGCGGAAGGCACTTGCGGCACAAACGCGTTATGCAGGGAACGAGACGGCGTTGGCATTTGTTCATGCCCCCTCGAGTACGTCGGCAATCCATACGTAGGTTGTAGACCCGAGTGCGTGATTAATCCTGATTGCCCGTCGAACAAAATGTGCGTGCGAAACAAGTGTCAAGACCCCTGTCCTGGAACCTGCGGCCAGAACGCCGAGTGCTCGGTCGTTAATCATCAGTCCTTCTGCTATTGCCGGCCAGGTTTCACTGGCGATCCATTTGTCGGTTGCACCGTGGATAGTAAGTTGAACCCTGTCTCATAAGACGACCGGAGAATAACGTTCGAATAGAAGCTATTAACTAAACGTGACTTGTTTCCTCAGCGATAGTACCGAAAGAGAACGTGTGTAGTCCATCACCCTGCGGACCAAATAGTCAATGCAAAGAGGTATCGGGTCAGGCCGTGTGTTCCTGCTTACCAACGTACGTAGGCACTCCACCTGGATGTAGACCCGAGTGTGTAGCTAGCTCAGAGTGTCCTACCCAGCTTGCGTGCAAGGACTACAAATGCGTGAACCCATGCCCTAGCCCTTGCGGCTTGAACACCAAATGCGTGGTTGTGAATCACAGTCCAATTTGTAGTTGTATGCCCGGACATAGCGGAGACCCATTCACCACTTGCACACCGATTCAACGTAAGAAACAAGTTTCACGATAGTCCCATTAAAGCAGTGTCCCAAACTTACTGTTAGAACTGCTCACGTGATAGCTTTCTCTAAGCTGTTTTTATTTCTTCGTAATCCTACGAGTCTCGTTAAATTTTCTATCAGACGGATGACATGAAACAGCAATAATTATCACTTTTAGCTGTTATGATCCCCGGTCCAACGGAGAAAGACCCCTGCGTGCCATCCCCGTGCGGTAGCTTCGCTCAGTGTAGGAACGTTCGCGGTTCGGCTGCATGTAGCTGCATAGAAGGCTACACTGGTCAACCACCGAATTGCAGACCAGAATGTACGATCAATTCCGAGTGTCAGAGCGACATGTCCTGCATCAACATGAAGTGCAGGGATCCTTGTCCCGGTTCCTGCGGTTCTGGCGCAGTCTGCGCTGTGGTTAATCACATCCCAGTATGCAATTGTCCCGAAGGTTTCACTGGCAATCCATTCACCCTCTGTCAACTGCAGCCGACCATACGTAAGAAATTTGTCCTTGATCATCACAGAAGTGTTCACACACTGGCACCTTTAGATTGTTATCTCAACTCGTTTGACATTGCAGCTACTCCACCAACACCTGTAGAGGACCAATGCACCCCATCACCCTGTGGTCCTAATGCGGACTGCCTGAAGGGCGTCTGCACGTGTTTACCAGAGTTCGAAGGAAATGCCTACCTAGGATGTCGACCCGAGTGCGTGCTAAACTCAGACTGTCCCCGTGACAGAGCCTGTTTGCGTAACAAGTGTACGGACCCCTGTCCTGGAACGTGTGGCCTGAACGCCATTTGCATGGTTATCAATCACGTACCTATGTGCAGCTGTCCCGGAAACATGACTGGCAACGCATTCAGTCAGTGTACTCCTCTACAAGGTAGTCGATGATTCAAATAGTCCAGATTTCGATACAGTTCTTTAATACGAAATTTACGGAATAACCAATTTTTTTTTCATTTTTTTAATTTGTTAGATTTAATACCCATCAACCCATGTAGTCCAACACCCTGCGGACCCAATAGCGAGTGCAGAGTCGTAAACGGTCAAGCGGTTTGTTCGTGCGTTAGAGGATTCTTAGGAAGCCCACCTACATGTAGACCTGAGTGCATAGTGAGCACGGACTGCCCACAGAACGAGGCCTGCAGTAATCAGAGGTGCATGAATCCGTGTCCAGGAACCTGCGGAATTGGAGCCACGTGCAATGTCGTCAACCATAATCCCGTGTGCAGCTGCCCATTGCGTTACACAGGCGATCCATTCGTACAGTGCATGCTTTTCCGTAAGAGTTTACTTCCTCCCTACTTAGGATAGACCAAATGGCTATCAGACATCATTGTTTAGCTCGTTCCTTCTGCGAATGCCTGACACTTTTCTATTTCAGTCGAGGAACCTGTAGTAGATCCTTGCCAGCCATCACCCTGTGGCCCCAACTCTCAATGTCAGGTGATCAACGATTCTCCATCCTGCTCCTGTTTACCAGAATTCTCTAGCAGTCCACCAAACTGTCGTCCCGAATGCGTTAGCAATAGCGAGTGTACTAGCCAACTGGCCTGTATCAATCAGAAATGCAAAGATCCTTGCGCTGGATCCTGCGGAGCTAATGCCAACTGTCATGTCGTCAGTCACACTCCCATGTGTACCTGTCTCAGCGGCTACGCCGGTGATCCATTCACTCAGTGCATTTTCAAAGAACGTAAGAACCGTTTCTCCACGCAGAACATATATTTATATCTCCAAGTAAAAAGATCATTTGGCCTCGAATGTAAATTCAACTCACGTTATCCAATTTTACAGCAACCATGATTCCCCTGCCTGTTGACCCCTGCAATCCATCTCCTTGCGGTTCTAACGCCGTTTGCAAAGAACTGAACGGCGCAGGCTCGTGTACCTGTGTTTCCAATTATATCGGGAACCCGTACGAAGGATGTCGACCAGAGTGTCTGCTGAATTCTGATTGTCCTGCCAATCAGGCTTGCATGAACAGCAAATGCCGAGATCCTTGTCCAGGAACCTGTGGTCGTAACGCTGAATGTCACGTTGTCAATCACTTGCCCATATGCGAGTGCTACCCTAGACACACTGGCAATGCCTTTGTTCTCTGCTCGCCTATTCAGCCAGGTATGTTTGTCGTCCAAATAATTTACGTTCCTAATTTAATTACTTTCGAAGAATTCCTTCGAACAACTGTATCTACCGATTATTAACCCGTAGAAGTCGATCAAACGATCAGTCGTCCCTGCAACCCGTCCCCTTGTGGGCCCAACAGCCAATGCAGAGCAGTCAACGGACAGTCCGTCTGTTCCTGTTTGCCCGAGTTCATAGGCAGTCCGCCATCGTGCAGGCCCGAATGCACAGTCAGTGCAGAATGCGCTCCGAACCTAGCTTGTATCAACAAAAAGTGCAGTGATCCTTGTCCTGGATCCTGTGGCTCGAATACTAGATGCGAAACCATAAACCACAGAGCCATTTGCTCTTGTCAGCCTAGCTTCACCGGTGATCCTCTTGTTGCCTGCTTTGATATCATCAGTAAGTTCCTAAACTTCCAGATGCATCACGTAGAGATGTTAATACGAAATTAATTCTTAAATATTTATTCCAGCGGAAAGACCATCACCTATACCAACATACGTAAACCCTTGCGTACCATCTCCTTGCGGACCATATTCCGAATGTCGTGACATAAATGGCCAAGCTTCTTGCGCATGCATGGCAGATTACATGGGAACACCGCCGAATTGTAGACCAGAGTGTATACGAAATTCAGAGTGTCCTAGCAATCAGGCCTGTATTCAGAAGAAATGTCGGTACCCCTGTGAAGGTGTTTGCGGTATGAACGCCCAGTGTTCCGTGACAAATCACATCCCCATTTGCACCTGTTCCGAGGGCTTAACCGGGGACCCATTCGCGAGATGTTTCTCCGCTCCAGGTACAAATATTGTTCTGATATATCTGTACTTCGATCTACATCTGCAGCGTTATTTAATAACAATTTTATTCCATTAGTCGAAATGGATAAGCCTGCAGATTCGTGTCTGAATTGCGGTGCAAATACGCGGTGCCTCGATGGAGTTTGCACTTGCTTGCCCGAGTATCAGGGAGACCCGTACGTAGGCTGTCGTCCAGAGTGCGTTCTCAACTCAGATTGCTCCAGAGACCGAGCTTGCATCAAGAGCAAGTGTAGTGATCCATGTGCAGGCACTTGTGGCCAGAACGCCCTGTGTTCCGTAATAAATCATATTCCGGTTTGCACTTGTCCTCCTGGCACTTCAGGAAATGCGTTCGTAGTTTGCTCCACGATTCAAGGTACAATTGCTTGATCATGGTCCAGTTAATTTAGAGTAATGCGTTTTATTAACGACCTTCTTTGATTCCTGAACAGTACAAACACCCAAAGACCCATGCAACCCATCGCCCTGTGGACCTAACAGTCAGTGCAGAAAGATAAACGACCAAGCAGTCTGCTCTTGCATCCCTGGTTACCTGGACACACCACCCAATTGTCGACCAGAATGTATTCTTAGTTCAGATTGTCCATCCAACATGGCGTGCAATAATCAGAAATGCGTGGATCCTTGTCCTGGAACTTGTGGAATTAGAGCGGAATGCGTGGTCGTAAATCACAATCCTATCTGTAGCTGCCCATCCGACCTGGCAGGAGACCCCTTCTCCGTGTGTATTAGGAAACGTGAGTACTCGAATTTGATTATTATTTTTTATATAGAAATGTTGTTCATTTTGTCTATTTTGACCAATAGCCGAAGAACCTCAAGTCGTGAACCCGTGTGTCCCATCACCTTGCGGTCCAAACAGTCGATGCCAAGTCATAAACGATTCGCCTTCCTGCTCTTGCCTGCCCGAGTTTCTCGGTTCTCCACCTAATTGCAAGCCAGAGTGCATCAGTAACAGCGAATGCTCAACCCACTTGGCCTGCATAAGTCAAAAGTGTCGCGACCCTTGTCCCGGTTCCTGCGGTGCCAATGCGGAATGTCGAGTGATCAGTCATACACCCATGTGCGTATGCAGTTACGGTTTTATGGGCGATCCGTTCGTGCAATGTGTCCCGAAACCAGGTAAGATTATCGAGCTACGATCTACCATTATTGCTCGCAAACGAAAATCCAAATTATTTTCGAGGAATATTTCCGAATCATATTTTTCCAATTACACGATGCCTGGTCTGAAGAAAACGATTTTAAATTCGTAGTCATCGAAGATACAGTAGACAAACCTACCCCGTGTGTGCCATCTCCTTGTGGCTCCAACGCAATGTGCAACGAGCTAAACGGTGCAGCATCCTGTAAATGCCTTCCTGACTACATCGGTAATCCCTATGAAGGCTGTCGACCAGAATGTATCATTAATTCCGACTGCACAGCCGATCAGGCTTGCGTGAAGTCCAAGTGTCAGAACCCTTGTCCAGGATTCTGTGGATACAATGCTGTCTGTCAGGTTGTCAATCACGCTCCATTGTGTACTTGTCAACCTGGATATACCGGTGACTCGTTCGTTCAATGTAACGTTATTCAAGAAGCACGTAAGTGTCCAGAAAATTCAAGTATGCTGATAAGGAAGGAGCCAAGGATTTCATCTAACTTCGTAATATAAACATTCTTATAGCAAAACCAGCTGACCCATGTAGTCCATCTCCCTGCGGTCTAAATAGTCAGTGTCGCGTGTCCAATGGACAGGCTATCTGTTCTTGCTCACCCACGTTCATGGGAACTCCGCCAATGTGCAGACCAGAGTGCACAGTTAGCTCGGACTGTGCCACGAATCGTGCCTGCAAGAACCGCAAATGCGTGGACCCCTGTCCTGGAATTTGCGGTATCAATGCTAGGTGCGAGGCCATTAATCACAGTCCAATCTGCAGTTGTAATATGGAATATACCGGGGACCCATTCGTTAGGTGTTTCAAGGTTCCAAGTGAGTAACTGGGTCTGAATATTCGCAAAATTCTATAACACGTTGTTAGATGTTGTTGTAAACCTCGGTGATATTTTACTTCAGTGGTCCCCGAAGCCGTGAATCCTTGTGTGCCCTCACCCTGTGGCCCATTCTCTGTCTGTCGCGTGCTTGGTAACGCAGACCTGCCAAGCTGTACCTGTATGGAAAATTATATAGGAAGTCCACCTAACTGCCGACCAGAGTGTACCATCGATTCGGAATGCGCCAGTAATAGAGCTTGTCTCAGACAAAAATGTACAGATCCTTGCCCAGGTTCCTGTGGTACAGGAGCTCAGTGTCTAGTAGTAAACCACATGGCTGTGTGTACCTGTCCCAAAGGCTATACTGGGGATCCATTTGTGAACTGCTTCCTAGAAACACCTTGTAAGCATTCATCCTTAATTTATGATTTTGTCCAGCAAAGAAGACAAATGACATTTTAATACGTAATTCAATGACACTTTCTCTGCTAGCTCCGTCACCAGTTCCGCAAGACTCTTGCAACCCATCACCGTGCGGATCAAACGCAGTCTGTCGAGATGGTACATGTACATGTCTCCTGGAATATCACGGTGATCCATACTATGGCTGTCGCCCAGAATGCGTCCAGAACCCTGACTGTCCTCTAGATAAGGCTTGCAATCGTAACAAGTGTTTCGATCCGTGTATCGGTGTCTGTGGGCAGGACGCGGAATGTGTAGTGATAAATCATACTCCTATGTGCAGCTGTCCCGATGGCATGTCAGGAAACGCGTTCACAACTTGTTACCCGATAAAAGGTATTTTGTCACATCTATTTCTTGAAGGCTGAATTTAAGATCACCATTTTCGACAGGATAAAATCCAAATCCTTTGCTTTACAGACCCAGTGATAATACAGCCTTGCAACCCGTCACCCTGTGGTCCCAATAGTAGATGCCAAGACTTCAATGGACAGGCAGTTTGTTCCTGTGTCCCTGGTTACATGGGAAATCCTCCAGCATGTCGACCAGAGTGTCTCGTTAACAGTGATTGTCCATTGAACGAGGCTTGCGTGAACTTGAAGTGTAGGGACCCGTGTCCTGGATCCTGTGGGGTATCAGCTCGTTGTCAAGTGGTCAATCATAATCCCATTTGCAGTTGTCCTCCAGTATTCACTGGCGATCCATTCGTGCGTTGTTTGCCCAGACGTAGGTGTTCTTTATGTTTGTTCAATTAAGAGCATCCTTTGACAGAAGATAGAAATTTCATTCTTACGTTTTCTCAAAAGCCGAAGAACCCGTACCAACGATCAATCCTTGTCAGCCATCACCGTGCGGTCCAAATGCAGTCTGTCAAGTGATCAACAATTCTCCATCGTGTTCATGTAAACCAGAATTCATTGGCACTCCTCCTAATTGCAAACCAGAGTGTATCAGTAATGGCGAATGTAGTAGCCACTTGGCCTGTATCAATCGTAAGTGCAGAGATCCCTGTCCTGGTTCATGCGGTTCCAACGCGGAATGTCACGTGGTGAATCACGTCCCGTCGTGCATTTGCGCGAAGGACTTCACGGGAGATCCATTCGTTCAATGCACTGCCAAGCAACGTAAGTGACCTAACAACTGTTCTATAAAATAATGGTAACAAATTTAATCCGATTAAATTCCTCCTTTTCAGCGGAGATAACGATTCCAGCCAGACCTTGTCAACCCTCCCCATGTGGAGCTAACGCTATTTGCCGAGAGCAAAATGGCCTTAGTTCCTGCGCCTGTTTGCCAGAATACATCGGCAATCCTTACGAAGGATGTCGACCAGAATGTACCCGTTCGTCAGATTGTCCTTCCCATCTAGCCTGCATTAGATCCAAGTGCCAGAATCCTTGTCCCGGTTCTTGTGGTGCCAACACCAACTGTCAAGTGGTGTATAATCTACCTGTGTGCACTTGTATACCTCAATATACCGGGGATCCATACGTGAACTGTGTATACAAAATTCCCACGTGTGAGTAGATCAAATCTGTTCAATTTATTCCCCTCATCCCTGATTCCATCGGAAATTTCATGGAAATATTTTACAGTCGAAGAAGAAGAACGAGACGTGTGTCAACCATCCCCGTGCGGTCCAAATAGTCAATGTCAGAATGTCAATGGCCAAGCAGTATGTTCTTGCCTGTCCCAATACGTAGGAACACCACCAAACTGTAGACCAGAGTGTGTGGTGAATTCGGAATGTAACTCGAACCTCGCGTGTATCAATCAGAAATGCAAGGATCCCTGTCCTGGTACCTGTGGTCGCAATGCACAGTGCAAAGTCGTTCATCATAGTCCCATTTGCAGCTGTGGAGGAGGTTTGACAGGAGATCCATTTGTCTACTGTTTCCCCGCTCCGAGTATGTTAGAAACAGGGCTTTTTTCGCAAACTTCATCTCAGTATCTCATGTTCACCTCAGTACCTTGTATACCAATAACATTTATCTCGTAGTGCCAAAACCAGAAGAGAAGTACCCGAAAGATCCATGCATCCCAACACCCTGTGGTCCAAACGCGATGTGCAAAGCCATAGGAGACACTCCAGTCTGTACTTGCATGAACAGCTACATCGGAGTGCCACCTAATTGTCGACCAGAGTGTTCCATTAATTCAGACTGCACAGCTGATAGAACCTGCATTCGGGAGAAGTGCAGAGATCCTTGTCCAGGATCCTGTGGCTTAAACGCCCGTTGTACGGTCGTAAATCATACACCAGCCTGCACTTGTCCTGAGGGATATTCCGGTGATCCCTTCGTTAGCTGTTCACCAATTCCTCCGACGTCGAGTAAGAATGGACATAATCAAATTCGATTAGAGATTCTTCTAACATTATGTCACGTTCGAAAGAATTTATTGATCCACCTGTTTCAGTCACGGATATCCCATCAGACCCATGCAACCCATCACCATGCGGACCAAACGCACAGTGCGATAAAGGAGTTTGCACTTGTGTGCCTGGTTACTTGGGTGACCCGTACACCATTTGCCGACCCGAATGCGTCATCAACACCGACTGTGCTCGGAATGAGGCTTGCTTACTGCACAAGTGCAGAAATCCGTGTGCAGGAACTTGTGGAATAAACGCGGAGTGCAACGTGGTTAATCATCTACCCATGTGCAGTTGCCCTAGAAATATGACAGGCAATGCCTTCGTCTCGTGTAATCCTGTTCAAGGTTGGTCGCCTTATCGATTCTTCTGATATTATTAAAGGCCACAATTTAATAACTTTGGAACTTATTGTGGTATAACAGAAACCAGCACAGTTGATCCATGCGATCCGTCTCCATGTGGCCCGAACAGTCATTGTCGCTCCTCCAATGGTCAAGCTGTCTGTAGCTGCGTCACAGGATTCAAGGGATCACCGCCATCTTGTAGACCAGAATGTATCGTCAGTACCGATTGTCCGCGTAACAGAGCATGCAGTAATCAGAAGTGCATTGATCCTTGTCTTGGCACTTGTGGACTGTCTGCTCAATGTTCCGTGGTCAATCACAATCCTGTATGCAGCTGCTTCGAGCAGTATACTGGGAATCCGTTCGTTCAATGTATCCCTCAGAGTAAGATCTACTTATCCCTTACCGATTTCTGGTTGACAATATTTATTTATGAAAGTTCTCTCAAGATTGGGATTTCCTTTTAGCAAAAGAGCCGGATATTCCGATAAATCCTTGTCAACCTTCACCCTGTGGACCTAACGCGCAATGTCAGGTGATCAACAATGCACCCTCGTGTTCCTGTCTCCCCGAGTTCCTAGGAATTCCACCGAATTGCAAACCTGAATGCGTGAGCAACTCAGAGTGCCCAACGCAGCAGGCTTGCATCAATCAAAAATGCAAAGATCCCTGTCCTGGCTCCTGTGGAAGAAACACCGAGTGCAGAACCATTAGTCATACGCCCATGTGTACTTGCACCAGTGGTTTCACCGGAAACCCGTTCGTGCAATGCACACCTCAACCAAGTAAGACCTCTCTCCTTCTTTGACCGTTCATTACTGGATTCGTATTTAAACAAAATCGATTTCACCTTTTGCACTCGTAGTTGAAGATGTTCCACAAAAGGCCAACCCCTGTCAGCCATCACCTTGCGGTCCGAATGCCATTTGTCGTATGTCCCATGGCTCGGCTCAATGCACTTGTATGCCCGACTTCTACGGAAACCCGTACGAAAATTGCAGGCCAGAATGTATTATCAATACCGACTGTCCATCAAACCGAGCCTGCATAAGGAACAAGTGTCAAGATCCCTGTCCAGGAGCCTGTGGCTTTGATGCCGATTGCCAAATGATTAATCACATTCCTATTTGCAGTTGTAGACCTGGTTACACTGGTGATCCATTTAGATATTGCAGCGTATTCCAACAACCTCGTAAGCTTTCAGAAACTTCATATAGGATATACACACCTGTTATATATTGAATATGCTCTCATCACAACACACTTTAACAGCTGAACCAAGTCGCACCACTCCCTGCGAGCCATCGCCCTGCGGACCCAATAGTCAGTGTCGCAATGTGAACGGTCAGGCCAGTTGCTCCTGCCTGCCCAGTTTCAAGGGTACACCCCCAAGTTGTAGGCCAGAATGTATAGTCAGTACAGAATGTGCCAGCAATAGAGCTTGCGTGAATCAGAAATGCGTTGACCCCTGTCCCGGAGTTTGTGGAATAAGTGCAAGATGCGAGGTCTTCCATCACAGCCCTATCTGTAGCTGTAGAGCCAGTCAGACGGGAGATCCGTTTGTAAAATGTTTCGATGTAACCAGTAAGTGGATTTGTAGGAAGATGCTTGCTCTAGATTGCGTTTCTTGAACGAAGTCTCGAATGTATACACTCTATTTTAGCACCCGCTCCACCTGTGCCTGTAAACCCGTGTGTTCCATCGCCCTGTGGTCCATTCTCGCAATGCCAAGATATTGGAGGCATCCCGTCCTGTTCTTGCTTGCCCAGCTACGTTGGTTCAGCCCCCAACTGTCGGCCAGAGTGTTCCATTAACCCTGACTGTACTACTGACAAGGCTTGTGTCAGGGAGAAATGTAGGGACCCGTGTCCAGGATCCTGTGGAACGAACGCGTTCTGCAGTGTCATTAATCATACACCTGTTTGTACTTGTCCTAAAGATTATACAGGAGATCCCTTCACCAGCTGCCGCCTCATGCCCACACGTAAGAATATTTACGATTTCATCAAAGGAATTGGATGTTTGACATTTTTTGATATTAGTTAATCGATTCACTTTGGTACAAAATACAGCTGTCCTCCCAGTTCCATCAGACCCATGTAACCCATCACCATGCGGTCCAAATGCTCTCTGTCGAAATGGCCAGTGCAGTTGCATAAACGAATACCGTGGCGACCCGTACCAAGGGTGCCGGCCAGAATGCGTGCAGAATTCGGACTGCACCTACAACAGAGCTTGTTCCAACAACAAATGCGTGGATCCCTGTACCGGAATTTGTGGTCAAAATGCCGAATGCGTCGTGGTGAATCACATTCCCACGTGCAGCTGCGTCGAAAGTTACGAGGGAGATCCGTTCACCCTTTGCAAACCCATTCGAAGTGAGTCCATCAACCTCGGTTAATTCTGAAAAGAAATTAAAATTCTATTAGTCCTTTATTATTAAATGTCACGTGTGTCACGTTACCGTAGAACGCGTGAAACCCTGCGATCCATCGCCATGTGGACCCAATAGCGTCTGTCGCGAGTTTGGCGAGCAAGCCTCCTGTTCCTGCCTCCCTGGATATTTCGGAACTCCACCGAGCTGTAGACCCGAATGCCTAGTAAACTCTGATTGCGAGCAGAGTAAAGCTTGCATGAACGAGCGATGCCAGAACCCGTGTGAGAACGCTTGTGGTCAAGCAGCGTTGTGTACCGTGAGAAACCACAATCCTATTTGCAGTTGTCCCACCCAGTATTCCGGTGACCCGTTCGTGAGCTGTTTCCCTATGAGTAAGTACCCTATAAATATACATTTGGATCGGTGCTGTCTATAAAATCCCTTGTCACGATATTTTTCATCTTTCAATCTCCACGTATGCTATTTCTATTAACAATGCACCACTGAATTATGGTTCATAACTCATGAATCATTGACAATTATAACGATGGAAAAGCTGTTTGAACAGAACAATCCATTAAAGTACCCACAGTGAGAAATGATCGACAAAACTTTCCTTTGAAACTTTATTAAAGCTTCCCATCGTTATTAGCTCACAATCAGTTCTAGACTTCACTCCAGACAGCACTGATTCCTGTTTCCAAGCTTTCAGTCAAGCCTGTTGAAAACTTTTGTTAACTGATGAAAAACTTTTCTCAACGAACAGAACCGCAGTACGAAGAGCCTAGCCAGGACCCGTGCAAACCCTCATCATGTGGACCGAACTCCCAATGCACAGTATCGCCAGACAATAAAGCCTCCTGCGCCTGTTTGCCCGAGTTTATGGGCTCTCCTCCCAACTGTAGACCTGAATGCCTCGTGAACAGCGAATGTCCCGGAAATAGGGCTTGCGTTAAACAGAAGTGTACAGATCCCTGTTCCGGACTCTGCGGCTCTAACGCTCTCTGCCAAGTTACCCTGCATTACATCCGTTGCGTGTGTCCTGATGGATACACCGGGGACCCGTACACTGTTTGTTCCGTGGCCAAGAGTAAGGACTAATCCCGTGCGAATTATCGAGAAACATAATCGGACGACCAAGAATGAGAGATGAAGCCTCGCGAATTTTTCCATTTGAGATGTTTCACGTTTCTTTCACGCAGGATACTCGCTCGAATATTTTTCATTGTTCTGTATATACTGTACATAGAGACTGTATCATAATAGAAAACATTGCATGTCGATTATTATAGGTAATTCCGTCACCGTATCGATATCTCGAAGCAGCCTTGTCCATACACGTTCTTCATTCTCTCTTATTCTTTTCACGATCCTTCGTCAAATCATGCGCATCTCTATTCGCGTTCTCTGTACAGATCTAGAAGTGTTTCATTTTTGTAAATTAACTCTCTCCACGATCATGCAATTACTTCTTCGTAAGTCGCTAACTAACTTAATGTCTTTATACGAAATATTAATCTATTCTTGTTTAAACTTTATTCTAGTACCTTCAGAACCGCAGACACCGGTGAGACCATGCAGACCTTCGCCGTGCGGAATTAATGCTTACTGTCGAGAGAGATACAACACCGCTTATTGCGAGTGTCTGCCAGATTTCCGAGGAAACCCATACGAAGGCTGTCAACCGGAGTGTTTGGTCAACACCGATTGCCCGAAATCGCAGTCTTGCATCAGGACCAAGTGTCAGGATCCATGTCCAGGCACTTGTGGCGTTGGAGCGATCTGTACCGTGTCTAATCACGTACCTATTTGCTCTTGTCCTCTGCCTACTGTCGGAGATGCGTTCACTATTTGCCAAGCTATTCCCGAAGGTATCCTATCTTTATAAAAATACTATGCCTCATTTCTGTGAGTAGAAATTACTTTTATCGCGATAAGCTTAAGTGAATTTTCGTTCTCCTTTAACATAAATTAAAAATATTTGAAACAGTACCGAAAGAAAGGGATCCCTGTTCTCCATCCCCATGTGGCCCCAATACCATCTGCGAGAAGGTCGGTAACACAGCAGTCTGCAAGTGTCTACCTGCCCTGCAAGGAATCCCTTCGAGTGTCACAGGCTGTCATCCAGAATGCGTGATCAGTTCGGACTGTCCAGGTGATAAAGCCTGCATCGGTAACAAATGCGTGAATCCTTGCACGCAGAACGTATGCGGCATCAAGGCCATTTGCAAAGCTATCAACCATAGTCCTCTGTGTAGCTGTCCATCATCGTTGATCGGCAATCCATTCGAAGAATGCTACACGAAAATTGGTAATCACGAAATGTTCCAACAGCTTCTTCTTCTTACAGTTTGCGTCACCTAACTCATTGTTACTTCGATTCGTTTCAGAAATTGATCCCTGCAATCCATCTCCGTGCAGTTACAATGGCGAATGTAGAGTCAGGAATGGCATCGCTGTGTGTATTTATCCGGAATGCGTTATCAATTCGGACTGCCCGCGTGATAAAGCCTGCTTCGCACAGAAATGTAGAGATCCCTGCATCGGTGCCTGTGGAATCAATTCGTTGTGTCAGACAGTGAACCACAAGCCAGTTTGCTCTTGTCCATCAGGTTTCACTGGGAATGCTCGCATTCAATGCACCATTCCAACTGTAGAAGGTGATTTGTAAGATCGAAATACTGACACATTGACAGCCAGTAAGATAAAATTATATCGAAGACTTTGAGATGAGTTTACTTGTAGGTTCAATCTAAAATGAGATTCCTGATAAGACTTAAAGAAATTAAACCTCTGTCTATTACTGTAGATGCTATGTTCGATATGGCAATTTGAAGACAAAAGATAGCAAAATGTGATACATTTTTCGTCTTCCTCTTCACAGAACCAGTACCAGAATGCACTCAGAACTCCGAGTGCCCCAACGACAAGACTTGCTACAGTCAGAAATGTGTCGATCCCTGCACTCTCGATTCTTGTGGCTTCAACAGCCGCTGTCACGTTCAGTTGCACCGAGCTGTTTGCGTCTGCAATGAAGGCTTCACAGGCAATCCTCAGCAGCACTGTCGCGAGAGTATGTTTTGCAAACATCGCTGAGACACCATCTACTATTCGCACATTTTATATATTATTTTATAAATTATTTTCTTCCTCAGTTGGTTGCCGAGGTGACAGTGATTGTCCATTGACTCAGTCTTGCATTAACAACGAATGCGTGGATGCCTGTTCCGTGACGCAGTGCGGTATCAACGCATTCTGCAGGTCTGATGCATACCACAGACCAAGATGCTACTGTCCTGATGGATATATAGGAAATCCGTATCAATCCTGCGAGAGACCAGCGTGTATTAACGATAATGACTGCTCATCCCAGTTAGTGTGTCGGGATTCCAAGTGCGTAAGTCCCTGCGATTGTCCACCCTTGGCACAGTGCTTCGTGGTTAATCATAGAGCCACTTGTCGATGCCCTCCGGGCTACGTGGGTGATCCATATTCCTCGTGTCTAATGGGTAATTATACTTCCATCCTTCGCATTTTGCTCGGAAGGAGCCACGATCTATGCAAAATTGCTCGTCCGTTTCAGAACCGATCGAACAACAGCCACAGTGTCAAGTAGATGGAGACTGTCCCAGTAAACTGGGCTGCTTCAACGGCGTTTGCAAAGATCCATGCGCCGAAACCAAACCTTGCATCGCTGGGGCGAAGTGTTCCGTTGTAGACACTTTGCCTATGAGAACCATGATTTGCGAATGCTTGCCGAACTTCGCTGGAGACGCGACTGTCGCTTGCATCCCTGGTAACGATCCACTACATTTTGTTAGATACTTTGTACTTGCAGTTCAATGTGTCATTCATACGAATCTTTCATTTTTGTCTAGTGGACAAACAAATTGAAGCTATTTGCAAGACTGACTCGCAATGCTCTTCGAACATGGCCTGCCTGAGCGAACGATGCATCAATCCTTGCATCATTAGTCCATGTGCGTCAAATGCGGAATGCTCTGTTCAAAATCACTATCGTCAGTGTCACTGCTCTCGTGGTACCGCTGGTGATCCATTCGTGAATTGTTACAGAGGTAATCATAGAAGTTCTTAAGAGATAAGTAATGGGAGGAAGGAAAAATTGAACAATGTATAAATAAAAATGTCCTATTTGTGTTATAGACACTGACTCATTCACGGACTGTACGTCGAACGCAGACTGTGCAACTAACGAGGCTTGTATTCATCAGCTATGTCAAAATCCGTGTATCAGCACACAATGTGGTCTGAACGCGGAATGTATCACTGTCAATCATCATCCGACCTGTCACTGCCAACAGAACTTCGCAGGAGATCCTCAGATACAATGTTTCAGACGTAAGTTTGCGATAATAAATCACTCTATACATATTAGGATTCCTCGGTACCTCAAAATATTTGATTTTATTATATTGATTGTTAAACTACAAAAATTTCGTTTCTTTTCAGCCGAGTGCAAGTCTGATAGCGATTGTCCCTACGACAAGACCTGTCAGAACAACAACTGCGTTACTCCTTGCTTGGTTGGAGACATCGCGTGTGGTCGTGGAGCAGAATGCATTGCAGTTTCGCACAGGGCACAATGCGTCTGTCCACGAGGCACCCAAGGTGATCCGCGAATCGCATGCATCTCCACGGTGTGTCATTACAACGAGGACTGTGCAGATCACGAAGCCTGCGACAGACTGAACAGAGTCTGTAGACCCGTTTGCGAGGATGATACTTGCGCGGAAACTGCCAAGTGTATCGCGAGAGACCATCAACCTAAGTGCACATGCCCACAAGGAACTACTGGGAATCCATATATCGACTGCACTGGTAAGTACCTGAATCTTTCTTCTTTAATATAACGCTATCCAACGCGAATTTTAATCTATAATATCCATTAGGCAATCCTTTTGGATTTACTTTTCTGAAAACGAATCCGTAATCGAAATTGCTCTACCACAGTCAGTTTTTGAAAACTGTGAGTTTCATTGTTGTCTTACAAGTTAGGTAAAAGTATTCTAAGTTTTGCCATGTCCATAATTATAATTATTTCTGTTTCTGAATGATTATAATTGCTCATCGAATTTTAAAAATAATTCTAGAGGCTAGGCTGAACTATGGTTAGTGCGTAGCTCTTAGCTTGACATCGTATGTCAAAGATTAATTATTTTGGAATATCTGTAGATACTTTGATAGAATTCATGGAAACAAGTCTCGAAAAATTCATCTTTGACATACGATGCCAATTACCAGGTCTCACCACGTGGAGGTGGCAACGCAATCGAGACCCGTACCTAAACACATTATAAACATATAATATAAAATGTGACACGAAACACAGTACTAAAGATCATACAAAGTAAATCACAAAGTAAATTAATAACATAAATGCAATGCAGAGTATGATATAAAATATACTGTAAAATCAAATACAAAATAAATTAGAAAATAAATTACAAAGTAAATTTCAAAATGTAGGATGCCTAACACCTGCATCAGAGGAAGAGCAATTAATAACAACACGAAAATAAATATAGTGAGGGTGAATTGCTGTTAGTTGGTGATAATTGGTGATAGTTGCATAAGATTATTGTATAGTGAAATAAATAATGTTTTAAAAACGGGATACGCGCTGCCACTTATGGCACGTTAAAAGTCACAACGATAGTGGAAATGCACCCACATAGAGTACTCTATTTCTCGTGACTGGTTTTTTAAATTTTATATCAAAGGACGATAAAGTTTTAATTCCCGATCGCGATGTATCGAATTTCGAGGGATATGGACGACCCCTCAGACAATGTGCACAGTATGCAGAGTAATACTGCACAAATGTGCAAAAATATAAAATTCTTGCAATATACATGTATAATGAAATAATGTAGCGAGCATAGTGACAAAAATAATATTACAAATGATATAAAAAATACTTGTGCCTTTTGCTGAAAATCCTAACTATAAATTCGGGTAAATAAATTCGGGAAAATCCTAACTATAATATGAGTAATACCAAAATCAAAGCAACGCCTCTAATGATTTCAAAACAATCAAATTATTGCTTTGATTGTGGAAACTACTCCGAGGGGAATTTCTCTTTTTATTTGTATTCCGAAAAAATCCCATGAAATAGGTATGACAACGAACGAAATGAACAACTAAAAATTTCTAAATTTCTACTTAGAATAGAAATTAGAAATTTTGTAAATTGAGATTCTAATACGCGATGTAGAAGAAAGCCCTAGCCTGATCCAATAAATATATCACAGAAATATACATTGCACGAGTGCTATAGTACATTAGTGCATTAGCACTCGTGGTCACTATGCTCGCTACGAAAATAATAAAATACAACCAGTCACCCATGCCGTTTCGGACCATTCGTCCTACGACATGATGAGTAACCAGAGGAATCGTAAACATGCGGCTTACCGATCGTTGTCTTCTTCTGCATGCCAAAGCAGCTCTGGATTGGCTGTCGCCTTCGTTCTGGCATCAGCGTCATTGTATCCTTTCCTTGCCTTGTCGTCAGTATAGAAATGTCAACATTGGTCGTAATTCTTTCTTCTCTTCTTGGAGCACTTGCAAAACACACTCGCGATGTCGCGGACACGACCGAACTTACTTCGACCGGCATCGAGTAAAAACAGTCGCGTGTAAAATCGTCCGAACGTATACGATTTAGTAGTACGGCAATAATTTAATAGTTACAAAAATATTTAATGTCCACTAACACGAATGAAATTAAAGAAATAAAATGTAAAACATTCATTTAAGTTAGAAATAATCAGAACTAAAAATGGAACGAAGTATTTAAATGAATAATTAAAAATTAAAAATAAATTAAGTGTTAAACATAAATGAATTAATTAAATAAATTATTAAAGGTAAAAAATTAATTAATTAATTAAATAAATTATGAAAAATTAAGAATAAATAAATGAATTAAATAAATTATTAAAAGTAAGAAATAAATAAATGAATTTAATAAATTATTAAAAGTAAAAATAAATAAAAGAATTAAATAAATTATTAAAAGTAAAAAATAAATAAATGAATTAAATAAATGATTGAAAGTTAAAAATAAATAAATGAATTAAATAAATTATTAAAAGTAAAAAATTAATAAATGAATTAAATAAATTATTAAAAGTAAGAAATAAATAAATGAATTTAATAAATTATTAAAAGTAAAAATAAATAAAAGAATTAAATAAATTATTAAAAGTAAAAAATAAATAAATAAATAAAATAAATAATTGAAGGTTATAAATAAATTAATTAATTGAATAAATAATTGAAAGTTATAAATAAATTAATTAATTAAATAAATAATTAAAAGTGAATAATCAATAAGTAAATTAAATAAATTATTATAAGTGAAAAATAGTTAAATGCGTTAATTTAGGTGGTTCAAGTTTATATGTACGTGTTATGACGGCCGAGGAGCAACTGACGTGTCTTGTGACCGCCAAGTACCTATATAAACCGACGTTGTCCTTACCGAGGTCAAACGGAAATTTACAAGCTTAATCGATTTTTCAAATATTTCCAAATGTTTTATAATTGTTATTACATAGTTTATTGCAAATATATGCTTCGTATAATTTGTAATAACAATATGTACAGTAATTTACATATGTACAATCATTTTCTCATATAAAAAAGCCATTTACTACCTCGTAACAACATTTTTTAACATATATGTGTTTGAAACAACTTTCTAAAGTTAAAAAAAGCGAACAGTAGCTAAAATTATTATTAACCAAAGGGATCTATAACCTATACCCATAACACATCCTAAAATAAGCTAAAATTCGCGTTTTTAACACATTTTACAAATTTACATAACTTATATATACGTATTATACATCTAAGAATGCTTCCACACGTTTTTCATTGTGCATTTATAGAATTTTTTGAAAGTATATTCAATAAAAGTGATCATAATGCTCATGTATAAAATTTTGCAGCTAATATATAATATATATTACTATATATTATATTTCTATTATTAATTTTATTAATTTACAACGTTTTTGTAGTGCAAATTAAGCATTCTTTAACTTGTCATTTTCGTAACAGAAACATATTTGTATTTGCTTCATTAACATTAATAAACACAAGAGACATCGTTTGATATTCTACATCGATACTTTAGCATATGGCTATTTCAAAAATGAAGTATCTTCCCGCGTCAACAATGCATAGCTTGGACAACGCCGCCACCTTCTAGTCGATGTCGTAACGAATGTACCGGTAACACATGGCGGAATATTTTCGCGCGTAAAAGTGAAGCTTTTTATGTCTCGATGAAATGTTTCATGAAGTCGCGTTATCACTGATAGACGTTTTAATTATTGCAACCAGTGAAATACTTTTTAAAATGCAATAATGCTCAGTGTCAGTTGTTATTTCGGGACATTCGAATCGTAGGTTACGTTTGCAACATTGTCGGAATATTTACCAATCGACCACAGGACGAATTTAAGAAATTGTGACAAATTTATCAAGATCAGGATATCTAACTGTGAACGTGAGTGCCGTGGTAATATACCACATGTGAAAATAAGTGAAGTTGCATAGTGGAAAACGTAAAAGATATATGTGCGAAATAAAGTGGTGTGAGTGCAAAGCGTAAAACGATGCACGCGTGGAATAAAGTGGTGTGAGTGCGACGCGTATAATACGATAGCGTAGGCATGTATCATCGATTGTAGATTATAGGTTTAGATTATCTGTAAGGAAATTTGGTTAACATTATTCGAAGTAGGCAGTATTTAGGTGGTTTCTCAATTTTTATTGGCTTTCACGGTTCATTTGTGAAATACAAGTGGTCGTCAAAACGTGCTGCGAGGCTACACATTATAGTTTATATAATGAAACATTCGATCGTAGATTAGGACTCTTCGGTTTATTAGCTCCGAATAGACTATTTAATAAATCTATCAACGTTCTTTTCATTTCGATCATAATTGTTAGAAATATAATGTTGAAAATGCAAGTATATAGTCTTAATTTAAATATTCTGGTTTCGCTATCCCAGATTTCAAATGTGGCTTAGAAAATTTCAATTTATTCTGTTAGAGTAGAATGTTTTCTATCGAGTGGACTAATTTTTTTCCGATTTCGACGATTTTCTTCGCGAAATAGTGCCGAACGTGCGAGTGGGTGATAGGGTGTACTACATATTTAATTATTCGGGCTTCGCTATCCAAGATTATGAGTGTCGCCTTAAAAATTTCCATCTATCCTGTTAGGGGAGGATGTTCTTTATCGAATGGACTAACTTTTCTCCGATTTCGATGATTTTTTTTCGAAGTACAGTGCCGAAAGTGGGAGTATGTGACAGGTCGTGCTACGTCGTTATCTTTCGTGGCTTAGCTCTCCGAAATTTCGTTTTTGAGTTCGGATTTCTTTATATCACTCGGTAGATGCTTCCTTTCTCTAATAGAATCGGTGGTTTTTTTCCGATTTTCGCTGTTTTTTTTCGAACTACAGGCCCGAATGGGGGAGTGTGTGACAGGTCGTACTGCGTAGTTATCTCTCGTGGCTTATCTCTCTCATAATCTGGCTTTGGATTTGGATTTTCTTACATCACTCGATAGATCCTTCCCTCCTCTAATAGAATCAGTGGTTCTTCTTCGATTTTAGTGATTCTTTTTCGAACTACAGAGTCGAATGTGGGAGTGTGTTACAGGTCGTACTCCGTAGTTATCTCTCGTGGCTTATCTCTCTCATAATCCGGTTTTGGTTGCGGATTTTTTTATATCACTCCATAGATCCTTCTCTCCACTAATAGAATGGGTGGTTTTTTTCCGATTTTCCCTGTTTTTTCTCGCAGGACAGTGCCGAAAGTGGGAGCGTGTGACAGGTCGTACTGCGTAGTTATCTCTCGTGGCTTATCTCTCTCATAATCCGGTTTTGGTTGCGGATTTTTTTACATCACTCGATAGATCCTTCCCTCCTCTAATAGAATCAGTGGTTCTTCTTCGATTTTAGTTTTTTTTTTTTCGAGCTACAGGCCCGAATGTGGGAGTGTGTGACAGGTCGTACTCCGTAGTTATATCTCGTGGCTTATCTCTCTCATAATCCGGTTTTGGTTGCGGATTTTTTTACATCACTCGATAGATCCTTCCCTCCTCTAATAGAATCAGTGGTTCTTCTTCGATTTTAGTTTTTTTTTTTTCGAGCTACAGGCCCGAATGTGGGAGTGTGTGACAGGTCGTACTCCGTAGTTATATCTCGTGGCTTATCTCTCTCATAATCCGGTTTTGGTTGCGGATTTTTTTACATCACTCGATAGATCCTTCCCTCCTCTAATAGAATCAGTGTTTCCTCTTCGATTTTAGTGATGTTTTTTCGAACTACAGGGTCGAATGTGGGAGTGTGTTACAGGTCGTACTGCGTAGTTATCTCTCGTGGCTTATCTCTCTCATAATCCGGTTTTGGTTGCGGATTTTTTTATATCACTCGATAGATCCTTCTCTCCTCTAATAGAATCGGTGTTTTTTTCCCGATTTTCGCTGCTTTTTTTCGCAGGACAGTGCCGAAAGTGGGAGCGTGTGACAGGTCGTACTGCGTAGTTATCTCCCGTGGCTTATCTCTCTCATAATCCTGCTTTGGATTTGGATTTTCTTATATCACTCGATAGATCCTACCCTCCTCTAATGGAATCAGTGGTTCTTTTTCGATTTTAGTGACGTTTTTTCGTACTACAGGGCCAAAAGTGAATGGGTGTGGCAAGTCGTACTGCGTAGTTATATCTCGTGGCTTATCTCTCTCATAATCCGGTTTTGGATTTGGATTTTCTTATATTACTCGATAGATCCTTCCTTCCTCTAATAGAATCAGTGGTTCTTCTTCGATTTTAGTGATTTTTTTTCGAACTACAGAGTCGAATGTGGGAGTGTGTGACAGGTCGTACTGCGTAGTTATCTCTCGTGGCTTATCTCTCTCATAATCCGGCTTTGGATTTGGATTTTTTTATATCACTCGATAGATCCTTCCTTCCTCTAATGGAATCAGTGGTCGTTTTTCGAGTTTAGTGATTTTTTTTCGAACTACAGTGCCGAATGTGGGAGTGTGTGACAGGTCGTACTGCGTAGTTATATCTCGTGGCTTATCTCTCTCATAATCCGGTTTTGGATTTGGATTTTCTTATATCACTCGATAGATCCTTCCCTCCTCTAATAGAATCAGTGGTTCTTCTTCGATTTTAGTGATTCTTTTTCGAACTACAGAGTCGAATGTGGGAGTGTGTGACAGGTCGTACTGCGTAATTATATCTCGTGGCTTATCTCTCTCATAATCCGGTTTTGGTTGCGGATTTTTTTACATCACTCGATAGATCCTTCCCTCCTCTAATAGAATCAGTGGTTCTTCTTCGATTTTAGTGATTTTTTCTCGAGCTACAGGCCCGAATGTGGGAGTGTGTGCCAGGTCGTACTGCGTAGTTATCTCTCGTGGCTTATCTCTCTCATAATCCGGTTTTGGATTTGGATTTTCTTATATCACTCGATAGATCCTTCCCTCCTCTAATAGAATCAGTGGTTCTTCTTCGATTTTAGTGATTTTTTCTCGAGCTACAGGCCCGAATGTGGGAGTGTGTGCCAGGTCGTACTGCGTAGTTATCTCTCGTGGCTTATCTCTCTCATAATCCGGTTTTGGATTTGGATTTTCTTATATCACTCGATAGATCCTTCCCTCCTCTAATAGAATCAGTGGTTCTTCTTCGATTTTAGTGATTTTTTCTCGAGCTACAGGCCCGAATGTGGGAGTGTGTGCCAGGTCGTACTGCGTAGTTATCTCTCGTGGCTTATCTCTCTCATAATCCGGTTTTGGATTTGGATTTTCTTATATCACTCGATAGATCCTTCCCTCCTCTAATAGAATCAGTGGTTCTTCTTCGATTTTAGTGATTTTTTCTCGAGCTACAGGCCCGAATGTGGGAGTGTGTGCCAGGTCGTACTGCGTAGTTATCTCTCGTGGCTTATCTCTCTCATAATCCGGTTTTGGATTTGGATTTTCTTATATCACTCGATAGATCCTTCCCTCCTCTAATAGAATCAGTGGTTCTTCTTCGATTTTAGTGATTTTTTCTCGAGCTACAGGCCCGAATGTGGGAGTGTGTGCCAGGTCGTACTGCGTAGTTATCTCTCGTGGCTTATCTCTCTCATAATCCGGTTTTGGATTTGGATTTTCTTATATCACTCGATAGATCCTTCCCTCCTCTAATAGAATCCGTGGTTCTTTTTCGATTTTAGTGACGTTTTTTCGAACTACAGGGCCGATAGTGAAAGGGTGTGGCAGGTCGTACTGCGTAGTTGTCTCTCGTGGCTTATCTCTCTCATAATCCGGTTTTGGATTTGGATTTTCTTATATCACTCGATAGATCCTTCCCTCCTCTAATAGAATCAGTCGTTCTTTTTCGATTTTAGTGACGTTTTTTCGAACTACTGGGCCGAAAGTGAAAGGGTGCGGCAGGTCGTACTGCGTAGTTATATCTCGTGGCTTATCTCTCTCATAATCCGGTTTTGGATTTGGATTTTCTTATATCATTCGATAGATCCTACCCTTCTCTAATAGAATCGGTGGTTTTTTTTTCGAATTTTATCTTTTTTTTCGCAGGACAGTGCATAAAGTGGGTGCGTGTGACAGGTCGTGCTACGTCCTTATCTTTCGTGGCTTAGCTCTCCGAAATTTCGTTTTTAGATTTCGATTTTTCTATATCACTCTGTAGATCCTTCCCTCCTCTAATAGAATCGTGTGTTTTTTTTTTCGATTTTCGTCGTTTTTTTCGAAATACAGTGCCGAAAGTGGAATGGGGTGACTGGTCGTTTTTCTTCGTTACCTTTCGTGGCATAGCTGTTCGAAATTTGTACTTTTGATCAGGTGTTTTTATTATCACTGGATAGAATACAGTGTTCGTTAATTAGTTTAGCGATTTTTTCGCGGTTTTCTTGGTTTTTTTCGGAAATACATTGCTGAAAGTGGAGCGGCGTGGCAGGTCGTGCTGCGTAGTTATCTCTTTGTGGTTAGATTCTTGAAATTTCGTTTTGTGATTAGTGTTTTTCGTTATCAATCGTCAAAATATTCTAATCTGTAATTAGTTGGCCGATTTCATGGATATTATTAATTATAGGAGTTGAAATTTGTTGGATAGTGTTATCGTTGATTCTGTTTGGAATGGACTGGAACTTTAGATTAATCTAATTTTTTTTTTATTTTTACTTAATATTATTTAAGTTAACCGGAGTGTCAGACATTAAAAATCTGATTATTTTGCGCTTTTCAAGGTGTGTTTACCGAACCGGAATGCAAAGAGGACAACGAATGCCCATCATACTTTGCGTGCATCAACACGAAATGTCAAGATCCTTGTCTATCCTCGAACATGTGCTCTGGTGATCAAGAATGCAAGGTACTGAATACGGTGCCCCTTCGTACGATGATTTGCAGCTGCCCACCGAACACCATTACAGATGTAAACGGACTCTGCAAAAAGATTGGTAAATATCGTTAAGGATAATCTTTGAAAATCACTTTTGTAAAGTAATGTAACATTTACTATATATTGCAATATTTATTACAGTACTCGAAGATGTGCAGTGTCACCAAGATCAAGACTGTAACGATTCCGATAAGTGCGTGGATGGAACCTGTATCGAAGCCTGTCTAACCACTCACTGTGGTCTAAATGCTCAATGCAAGGCAACATCTCATACTGGAGTCTGCCATTGCGCAACCGAATTTACCGGCAACGCTTACATCGAGTGCATTAGGGGTATATTTCTGGAAATATTTTATGTTAATATAATTCCTGTAATCGTAAAAGCCTTGTCTACTACAATAAGAAATCTTTACGTTTCAGTTCCAATCATATCGCAGACACCGGTTCGACCAGAATGCTACACTAACAGCGAGTGTTCCAGTGACAAACAGTGTATAAATTCTCTCTGCATTAATCCTTGCGTCATTAGGGACACATGCGGTAGAAATGCACTGTGTTACGTAAATAACAATAATCCGATCTGCAAATGTCCTGTCAACTACGCGGGTGATCCAAGAATCAATTGCATACCACGTACGTTTTCAATCACAAAATTAATATTTTCGAATGACTATATATTGTTATTAGTAATACTAGTATTGTATATCACCCTGTGTATTATTTATTAATTTTTTTTATGTAATTCTTTTACAGCGGAAATTGTAGCTGAGTGTACCTCGAATAGCGATTGCGCGGGTAACGCGGCTTGTGTGAACAGTTTGTGTATTAATCCGTGCAACTGCGGTCCAAATGCCAAGTGCAATGTCATAGATCACTATCCATCTTGCGTCTGCCCGCCTGGCTATTCTGGAAATCCTCAACTCGGTTGCTTCAAACGTAAGTTCAATTTCTCTTCCAACAATTCGATTAACGTGTTCTTACCAAACTCTGTTCAATTTGATCTCACGATAACTTTCTATTTCAGTGGACTGCGAATCAGACAGCGAGTGCAACAACGCTGCCACTTGTTACAACGGACAATGCGTGAATCCTTGCATCTTAGAGAACAAGTGTGCGATAAATGCAGAATGCTATGGTCAAAATCATCGCGCCATTTGTCGTTGCGGTGCAGGATACTTAGGCAATCCACAAGTTCATTGCGAGAGAGTAGAGTGCAGCACTGATCACGATTGTCCTCGAAACCTTGCTTGTGATAGCGGACATTGCGTTAGTCCTTGCATAGAAGATTCACCGTGTGCCCAAAATGCTATTTGCTACGTCCAAGATCACGTGGCCACTTGTCGCTGTCCAGAGAATATTCCCGCTGGAAACCCGTATTCCTATTGTACTCACCATCCCACGACGGAGTTGGACGAACCAGAGTGTAGAATCGACATTGATTGCGCTGACAAACTAGTATGCATCAGGAATAAGTGTATCGATCCTTGCCCGGTAATCAAACCTTGTTTACAAAATGCACGTTGCAACGTGTTGGATACTGTTCCTGTAAGAACCATGACATGTACTTGCCCAGAGGGCTGGACCACTGACATCGACGAAGTTTGTAGACCGAGTAAGTGATCTAAATGATGTATATAAGTAAGTGTATGATGTGTTGTTCTGAATTGGTACAGATGTATTGAGCAAATCGATAAAATTAATCACTTGATCTTGATCTTGAATTTTTTTTGAATATTTTTATATATATATTTATAGCGCATATGATAATAGTAAGTCTAAATAGGTAATTTAACAAATAATGACAAATATTTTTATTTCCAGTTCAAATAGCTGTAATAGGCACCTGTACAACAAACGACGAGTGCAGTGACGCAGAGGCCTGCATCAACAGACAATGCAGAAATCCCTGCAACTGCGGTACCAACGCTGCCTGCTATGTACGAAACCACAAACCAATCTGCTCCTGCGAGGAAGGCTACCAAGGCAACCCGGATCTTGCATGCTTTTCCGTAGAATGTACACGAGACAGCGAGTGTGCCCTGGACAAGAGTTGCGTGAACAATAATTGCGTCAATCCTTGTCTAGTTTCTGATAATTGTGGCGTGAACGCCGAATGCTTCCCTAACAACCACAAAGCAGACTGTCGTTGTCGCAAGGGTTATCACGGAAATGCTCTGGATCGTTGCAGAGTTATCGGTTGCTACAGTAACGGAGATTGTCCTGGAGATCATTCTTGCATCAATATGCAGTGCATCAACCCCTGCGTTCACAATAATCCTTGTTCCTCTCGAGCTGAGTGCAGAGTCTTCAACCATTTGCCTATCTGTCGTTGCCCAAGTCATCACACTGGCAATCCTTACGTTGCTTGCAAGCCAGAGGAACGACCAGAATGTAAAGAAGATACCGACTGTCCCAACTTGTTGGCCTGCTTCGATAATAAGTGTCAAAATCCATGCACTCTGGTACAACCCTGTAGCGAGCCATCAGAGTGCAGGGTACTCCCGACGTCTCCGGTTCGTACAATGGTGTGCGTATGCCCCAGCGGTTATGTAAGCAGTGGCAGCGGAACTTGTCGACCTACCAAACCAATTTTAGAAATCGAGTGTAAGAGAGATAGCGATTGTCCATCAGAAAAATCCTGTGTAAACGCAGTGTGCAAGAGTCCTTGCGCCTGCGGTCCTAACGCAGATTGCAGTGTCGTTAATCATAAACCGATATGCTCCTGTGTTCTGGGCTTCGACGGAAATCCTGACATGGCATGTACCAAAGGTAAGGATATCTTTTATACATGTATTTTAAATAGTAGTTGTCTTCATTACGAAGCAAAGAAAATAATTGGCCCGCTGTTATTAATATTTTATATCCAATTTCCAGTATCCGGATGCCGCACAGATGCTGACTGCAGTGGATCACACGCGTGTGTACAACACAACTGTATTCCGATTTGTTCACCGTCGCTGTCCATCTGTGGAAAGGGCGCTGAATGCTATGGTATCAACCACAAAGCTATTTGCGAATGTCCACCAGGATATGGAGGCAATCCAAGGGTCTCTTGCGTCCTTCTTGGTTGCAAGAGCAATTCTGATTGTCCCACGAACAAAGCTTGCATCAACAATCGTTGCGAGAATCCCTGCGCCGAAAATCCTTGCACTGGAAATATGGATTGCAACGTCTATAATCATGTAGTGGAATGTGCTTGTCCTCCTGGTTACATCTCGGATACTAAAACGGGTTGCACTAAACGTAGGAATTATTAATTAACATTAATATTGTCTGTATCTTTATTCGTTTCAATTGTTCATCATAATTTTCTTCCTTTTATATTTATTATTAGTGACAGAAAAATGCAAAGCAGACAATGAATGCCCATCTCAAACTGCTTGCTTTAACGGCGAATGCATCAATCCTTGTGTGAAGATTGAACCCTGTGGTGTGAATGCGGACTGTAAAGTACTCGACACATCTCCTGTGAGAACCATGATCTGCGAGTGCATCCCTGGATACAGAGGAAACGCAGTCGTCCGCTGTGACAAAAGTAATTTTCAGTTTTCGATTGAATAATTTACAGTGGACATTAATTCAGGATTATATATAGAATGGTTTCTGAACAAATTTGTTCTATTTTACAGCGAACGTATGTCCAGTAGAGAAGGGTCAAGTTCTCGACGAATACGGCAATTGTGTCTGTCCACCTGGATCAGCTAAGGATGAGACCGAAGTGTGTGTACCGTGTCGCAAACAGTCTGGAATGATCATCAACGATGAAGGATATTGTGTCTGTGCTCTGGAGAACGGTATGATCATTGATGAGTATGGTCGCTGTGTGTGTCCAACCCATCATGGGTATAGATTAGACGCGAATGGATATTGTAAATTAGGTAAGAATTTTAACGAATTTTATTCTATAATTCTATTCATTTTTCTACTAGTGTAAATATTTCGTTTGATTAATGACACGTGAATTATATAGTTGACATAATCGAGTGCAAACATGATGATGACTGCGCCGATAATAGATACTGTGATAAAACCAGCCAGACTTGTGAAGATCCTTGTTTAACTCAATTGTGTGGCCTCTACGCACTTTGCAATGCTACTCGTCATCAAGCTATTTGCATATGCATCAATGGCTACATTGGAAATGCTTATACTCAGTGCTGTAAGCAATTGTTTATGTTCTAAATTTTTTTTATTTATGTTTTACTTTTTTTTCGTATTAGTATGATTAATAAGATTTTGTTTTGATAGATGACAAGAATCGTTGGCGTACAGACTTCCCCAGGCCAGAGATGGTGGTCAGTTGTTTGTCGGATGGAGTACAGGTCGAAATACATCTTCACGATCAGGAATTCGATGGTGTTCTGTATGTTAAAGGTCATAGCAAAGATGAACAATGCAGAAGAGTTGTCTCGATACCAGCAGAAACCATGCACAAAACCGAAATATTCAAGGTGGCATTTGGAAATTGTGGACTAATACACGTAAATGTAAGTTGCCTTTTATTATAAAATATTTATTATACAATATTTATTATACATTTATTATACAATAAAATATGTATCATTTTTAGGGACAAGCTAGTTTCGTATTAGTTATACAAAAACATCCGAAATTAATGACATACAAGACTCAAGCTTATCACATCAAGTGTATATATCAAACTGGAGAGCAAAATGTCACACTTGGTTTCAATGTCTCTATGTTAACTACAGCTGGCACCATTGCTAACACTGGTCCTCCACCAGTCTGTCTCATGAAGATCGTTACCCAGAATGGAAATGAAATAAATTCTGCTGAAATTGGAGATAATTTGATGTTACAAGTAGAAGTTCAGCCTTCCAGTAAGTGTACTTCAGTCTTATAAATCATTAGGTTTTTGTCGTAACTAAATGGTAATTTTAATATTTCAGCTATTTATGGTGGATTCGCACGAAATTGCGTGGCTAAAACGATGGAAGATAACTTGGAGAACGAGTATATTGTAACAGATGAGAACGGCTGTGCTACAGATCCGACGATATTCGGAGAGTGGGAACAGAACCCAGAAACGCAAACGTTGATGGCCAGCTTTAATGCTTTTAAGTTCCCAAGCAGTGATAATATTCGATTCCAATGTAATATCCGGGTGTGTTTTGGACGTTGTCAGCCTGTAAGTACTATTTTACTACTTTTGAGTTTATAGCGTATTAGAAGAAAGATATTAGAAGAAAATGTAATGCTGATTCTTCCTAGGTTAACTGCCGAGGATACAACGCATTCGGTCGTCGCCGTCGAGATGTGAGTTCCGAAGGTAATGAAACAGCTTTGACTATTACGGACAATTATGAAGGACAACTTCGAGAAGAAATAACAATTCAATCAAACTTAATATTTACTCTGGAGAGGAGAGAAGAGAGGTTCACAGCAGATCCAGCTGAAAGTAAGATTACATACTTCCTTTTTTATAGTAATAGTAAAAAGAAAAATCTCTGAAATACATTACTGTTGCAATACGAACCTTTCTCTGTTTCAGTCACTGCAGCTCAAAGAGTGGAAGACATTTGCGTTTCTATGGTCGGCTTTGTGATAGCATTAGTAATTACAGCACTCTTGGCACTAGTCGCTGTAGCTATTGCTGTTTCGTGCTGGTTAATGGCGTATCGTCGCCAGCCAAAGACTGCTGGACCACTGCCACACCCACCAGAGTTCCCAAATCCATTGTTCACTACCGAATCTGTAGCTGAACCATCTCCTGATTATCACCTGTCATAAATACTTTAGGATAATTATTATTTTATAACATAATTTTATAATTTTCAATGAAATGCAGTACAGACCACATTTTTCTTGCTGGTCGGTCTTGTATTTCTGTGAACGACTCCTCCAGTGACTAGATTTCCGTACTTTCCTCTCGAGGGTTCACACCGAACGTTATTGTACGTTCATTGTTATATATGAGTACCCTAAATCAAGATATAT